GTGAAGGCCTGGAAGTTTGTCCGTTCCAGTATGAGACTTTCTAATTCTGGTGACGCCGAGAAAATCAGTGCAGGCCCCCGAAGTAAGGCATTCGCACCAGTCGCTGCAGTTGCACACCTTTTGCGCACATACTTTGTGATTCCTGCCAGCTTCGCTCCCTACCTGTCGAACCACCAACAGCTTTTCCTGTTTCACACCATTCCCAAACGACTGGACACCTTGATCGTCTTTGGTTTCTGGGCCGTCGCTATCATTCTGTCTTGCGTGAACTACGAGAGTTTCACGGGTAACATTAGGTGCGTTATCAGTCTACTCAGGGCTACTGCGCTTTAACTAACGGCTCAATTTCAAGCACGCCGAGTCTGTACCAGCAAAACTGGCAATATTCCTCCGACCGCACTGGTGTTTTGTCCTACGCTTGCCTGCCCTTCCTTTGGCTCTTTGCTGGACGCAACAATATTTTCCTCTGGGCGACCGATTTCAACGTGCAGTCTTTCAACATCTTCCACCGTCACACGGCCTGGGTGTGTACCCTTCTGGCTATTGTTCACTCAATCGCCTACACTGTGGTCTTCCAGGTTTATGGTTAGCCCCCTTATCACAACCAGTTTCTACCGTTTACAACTTGTTGACAACATATTCTACATACAGATGGTAGATACCACAGCGCGCTGAAGCAGAACTACTTCTACATGGGTATTGTAGTATGTTAAAGCTATTTTGATAATATGCGGTGCCCAAAAGTTCTAATTGTTCTATAGGCTACGGTTGTTATGGCAGTTATTCTCTTCCAGTCTGGTACTTGGCTTCGTCAGAGATTCTACGAGACCTTCCTAATCATCCACGTCCTCTTGGCCATTCTAACAATCTACGCCTTGTTCCGGTATGCTCTCCTTAACAACGCAATTCACATCACTATCTCTAACAGTAAGACTGCAGCCACACCAGCTTCGACGGAACCGTCTATAATGGCTATCTCTGGCCCATGGTTGCCATTTGGGGCTTCGATCGTGCCGTCCGCTATGCACGCATACTCTACTGCAACCTCCACGTCAAGTTCGGAAAGGGCTTCATCTCCACAACCTCCTCCACGGTCACCTACAGTGCCGAAAGCGATCTGATCCGCGTCGAGATGTACCCTGCCTCTCAGACCCTGAAGCCTGGCCCTGGTCAACATTACTACCTCTACCAGCCCGTCACTCTCCGCGGCTGGGAAAACCACCCCTTCACCATGGGATGCTACGAGAACGCGACTTCGAAGGAGGAGTCTTCGAAGCTTATCTTCTACATCCGTCCCTATGACGGCTGGACGAGACGTCTGCGTGACCAATGCCAGAAGGCCGGCTCTGAAATCCGCCCTAAGCTCCTCCTGGAGGGCCCATACGGACACCAGGCCCCACTTCACACTTTCGACACAGTCCTCATGATCATGGGTGGAACTGGTATTGCCTGCGCGGTGCCTTATATCCTGGACCACATCTCGCGCGTTGAGGCCGGCAAGACCAACACCACTCGTATCCAGCTCATCTGGACAGGCCGTCAAAAGAAGATCTTCGACGAAGTCTGCTGCAGAGATCTGTCCGCAGCTTTGGAGCACAGCGACATTACCACCACTCTTTTCTGCACTGACAAGTCGGCGGCCGGAAACGTAATTGACTCAGGCGCAACGACTCCGACGAAGGAGAAGGAGGCTGTTGCGGATGCTATGGCTCTTCAAGACAGATCCAGTGGGTCGATTCGCTCCGTCGAGGACCTCAACGTCGAGCTTCGCTACGGCCGGCCTGCTATTCGCGCTAGTGTAATGACTGCAGTGCGTGAGGCAGAGGCTAGCTCGGCCCGGTTGGCTGTTATGACCTGTGGTCCGGCCGTGATGGCGGATGAGTGCAGGTCGTCGGTGTACGAGGCCATGAAGGGTGGATTCCAGGATATTGAGTACTTCGAGGAGGCATTCGGCTGGTAAAGAGGGTTTGGGAAAGGGTATGATGCAAGATGATTGGAAGAGGTTTGCGGCATGGATTGATTATGTTTGCCAATGAGTATATGTAATGTGAAACTATGCAGGATTACTGCACAGTAAATGAAAAGTAACTTAATTTTGATATCTACAATTGTTAATTATCTCATTTCTCCCTTATTCGCAGATAGTGTATACTTGAAGCTCTTTTGCGTGAAAGATATAACGGCATCCTCCTGACTACAATTAGCTCATCAATCTATCCTGTAGATTGTACCTAGAGCTGCACCACACCCAGGCAACGACAAACATACAAAGTCCTCACCGGTAATCCCCCACCCGGCCAAACTCCGGCCCCATCGCCCGTTGACACCAAAAACCGGCCCTTCGGGTTAAACTGCCGACTCAGGCTGCTTTGAGCGGGAGGAACCACGGCCGGTGGATCCCGCCGCGTGGAACCATCGCAAGCTCGTACCCGAAATAAGCTAAGATGGCCCCATCCTTGCGGTGATCGATCTGTGTGTGGGCAGAGGGGCTCTCGCAAGCTTGTACTAGATATGCCCCTCTTGGGCATGGATGGGGTGCGTTGTAGGGCATCGGAGCTCGGTAAAACCTCTGCGCTTGGCGAAGCAATTGTTCGAGGAGGTTTAGTTTGTTGGTCGTCTCCGGGCTTGGCCGGGCTGAATCTGGGTGAGGGCTTGGCGCGGACTGGCCAGGCTCGGCTGGTATTCGAGCTAAGATTTTCTAGCGGAATGCGCGCCAGGTGCCTGGGCCGGTTTATTGCCATGGCGTAGGGCGGCATTTCACTCGCTTCTCGTAATATCCTAAATCGCCGAACGAGATCATAGTCAACAAGGCACCTCACAAAGGGGCGGCAGCATTTCCTGCTACTCGAGACAGCCCCAATGTAACATCTGGTTCCCAGTTTTGAAGATGACGACCAGGCTACCGGTGATATATTGTGTCTAATGTGTGGGTCCACGCATAGTCTCTCCTTTCAGCAAAATGGTGGATCTAGACTCTGCCAGGACGTTGTTGTTCCCTCCATTATGGTAATAGGCTCTCAGTCAGTAACCCTACCCAGGTTCCCAGTCGCTACCAACAAATGGGCAACTCTGATGGATAATGAGTTTTGAATAGAATAGTACTTTCATTTGAGGTTGTGACAGCTTATTCGACTCCGACCTATGTCACTTGCCTCTAATACAACCACCTGTACGGTACACATGCATATATATATATATATATTCCGTGCTACGGGTGGGTACACCTTGAAACATTAGACTCCATTCATAAAGATAACTAGCTAAAGGTCCCAATACCGAGGAAGAAATTACAGATGAATATAAGGAATTAAGTAGGAATCAAGTAGGAATTAAGTAGGAATTAAGTAGGAATTAAGTAGGAATTAAGTAGGAATTAAGTAGGAATTAAGTAGGAATTAAGTAGGAATTAAGAAAATACTCAATGCACTATGTCAAATAGAGATTGCGTTTGTTAATATTGGTCTCGAAATCTTCAATGCCCTTAATAACAAGGAATCGAGAGAAACAGGTCATGATGTAGCAAGATTGGTACTTCAATAGATCGCCTCAAACTGTCACTACAGCCATCGAGCGGATATATATATAATATCGCGCTGAGTGAGTACTTATCCCTTGCTGAAGTTATAATAGTATGTAGCTCATATATATATTAGTATATATATATCTCCCGAAGCGGGTGTTCATATTCACAAAACATGAATGAAGTTTTGATATGAGTAATATTGACGTGGTAGAAGAAGTATTACAGAATCAGTGACATTGAATATTCTACTATCACATCAGAAGTGATCTCTTTTGCCCAATTTCTCTAACAATATAACCTCCACCATATTCATTTCGAGAGATACCAGACAAAGCGTGCGTGGGGCACCCACACGTGATAGGGTTCAAAATTAGAGCGGCAGTGTCAGACCGGAGCTGGAAAAACATTTCGGGATGATACCAAATGAGCTTTTATCACGTGCAGAGACATTTTATTGTCAAGCTGGAATTACCCGTAACATCTACTATTTTAAAGAGTTTTGGGGATAATAATCATACTTTCTTATTCTGAATGTACTGTTCAATATCTCGTGCAGAGGTGATACGGTACCAGTAACATTGGCTCACAGTATCAGGAATCCTCCGAATCTTCCTCAACTATTTTTCCGGCTCAGGTCTGACACTGTCGCCCTAATTTCTGCCCTCGTCGGATGCGAATGCCCCGCGTACGGGCCTTTGGATGAAGCAGTTTCTGGTTCCTTGTATATATATATCCTGATTTGAGAGGAACAGTAAATGAATAGATACCCATAAAGTGGTCGCGGTACAGCTCATTGACACGTTATTGGTTTCCCTGGGAGCCCATATGCCCCATTTAAATTATTGATGACATATAATGAGCACTCAGGTCAGTCGCTTGATTGGATGGCCAGGTGTGAGATGTCATTATTGTGGTTTCGATGCTCTTAATGCATTCTGTTGGTTGTTTTGCTTAAAAGACACCCTTTACAAACCTGTCCGTTATCTTCACACGTTCAAGGCTATAAGGAAGCTTTATAATCCTATATTCTCTGGCAGAGATGAAGGTAGCAGGATATATTGTTGGCACATCAAGACGGGTGAATTATTACATAGAGTGACAGCTGGACTAGGCCGCTTTCATTGACGCTCTCCCCCCTCATTCTTTCTCTCACTTTACCGCATAAATGCTCTTAGATAGCTTCCATTTCTGGAACTCAATGCTGGCAAAGCTTAAAAAGAATCTTCTTCTAGCCGTTGGCAACTTGGCAAGAGTACCTTTGATGTGCGATGTTCGAAGATGAAGCAAGAAAACAAGTAAACAATCAGTCAAATATAAAACACACATCGTTGGCCTAATAATAGTATACACGGTATGAGAACCTAACTACACATATGCAAACAGCTTGGAAGCGGAATAGAATTTATTGAGAGGGAGATCCTGTCAGTAAAATCACAGAGCAATTATCTACTATTTGTACCAGAAACATAGGAAATTACTACAAAGAATGTTCACACCTGGCCACACTATTCTCCGACCGCTCCGTCACATCCTCAACAGACCCATTCCTCGGATCAACGAATTCGCACCTCACGCTCCACTGATCTGTTCTTTGAATTACCAGAGTTGACTCCCTCCTACCCAATGGCTGACCCGGAGATGTGACAGCAAACGCTGCAGCAGAAGTGCCCAAGCCCTCGATCTCATCCTCCATGTACCGTGACCTAGTGGCTGATTCTTTAACACCTTTGCTCATACTAGTCATCGCGTACGCATTGCCATAAGAGTTGCTATTGCTGCCTCCACCAATGCGCTTATGTAAGGATACGTTGAGCATGCCGCTGTCAAAGGCGTCGAGGAACGGTTTCAGGCACGGGATACAGGCTGTCATGATGCTGACGCAGAGGACGCATTCTGTTGTGATGGTTGTTGCAAACGCGGCGTCGTTCATGTCGGTGAAGGGGGAGGACTGGGAGTGGCGCATGAGGATAAGGCGAATAACTGTGGTTATGATAACGCTGGCCAGTCTCTTGTTAGGTTTATATTTGCAGTAAATTCTAGAATAGACCTACAAGATGCGGATAAAGAATGCAACCACAACAGTGACTTTCTTCCCGGAGACGACCTGGACTGGTTTCACGATGTAGATAGGTAGGATGCAGATGACGAGTTCTGTTATTATGTCGATAGGGGAGATGCCTGTCCAGAAGGCGAACTGCACTCGTATCTGTCAGTGTCGTTGCATGGTGTGGAAATATATGGATATTCTGATAGCATATGGGGGTGCGCGAGTTTTGGGATGGTAGGCGAGGAGGATCTGCTAACTCACACTATCTACGCAATGGCCTTCGCTAAAATCCCAAGGATTAGGCACTCCGCATTGTAGTGCCAGAGTGAAAAAGACTGGCACAGTCCAAATACCGACCAGAATTGACGTCCAGAATGAAACTCGCTTATGCCACTTGTTAACAGCCAATCTGTTCAAGAGCAGCAGTACTGAGGTCTTTGCTAAGCTAAGAGCAAGAATGTATAGAATTTCCGATGAATAGAGAACCTGACAGACATTGTGATATTAACAAACCTGTTTTATCAGAGACTGGCTAAAACTCACCTTCTCTAGTGTTTGGACTTCCGAGTCACTGAGGCTCAGTTCTCGCTTGCCCAACCCATTCCTCGTTCCAGCAAGAATGACAGCGCATTGTGCAACAGCGAAGATCTACTATCGTGATGGAACCGCATTAATGAATCAATACACCAATTGTCTCGAAAGGCTGGAGCGGTAAACATACCAGTGCAAGCGATATAGTCCCATCGTCCCATTCCAGTGAGCGAAGCATGTGAAGCCGGAAGGCCAGTCGTATCAAAACAGCCAGTATCATCATCACCATCAAGTATATAGTGGCAATGGCTATTTCGTCGACATGATCGGGCGCATGTTTCGTCGCCGGGTAAATTGCGCGTATGCCAATATTAGGGATGCGAAGAGGTTGGTAGATATGAGAGAGCTGTGGAAGCATGTTCGGGATTGACGTAGAAGCAGGAATGCAAACATGAAAGGAGACGTACCAGCATAGACTGTGCGCTCATGGTGGTTTAACACAGGGAGCACGAACGCCTGCGGCAGTAAGTATAGAAAGCAATGTACACGCGCACCCTTCAGTCCACAGCAGCGCCGATTAGTAACACTTATTGCTTGACTCGAGCTGGGAAGTCTCATTATCAGCACATGTTTTAGTTGAATGGCATAATCTCGGACAAGCCCGGCCACACAAATAACCCATCCTCCGTGGGAGTGCACACAGGAGCTGGGACGGGGTCTGAAGCTACTTCTCCGATCGAATGAGCAGACCCATAGTGCGCACTAGGCGCCTACCCCTATCAGACACTATCTCTGATCCCTGTTTAGCTTGACCACCATACCATTAGACCAGGGCTAATCAGTGACGCATGACGGACCGTCGTGTACGTAGGCGAGCGCGCATGTTGCTGGGGAAATTACAGGCCGCTATCCAGGATCCTCAAGCTGAAAGGCAAAACCAGTATACAGCAAGGTCCCCTAATGAGCTACTTGCCTCTGCTCCGCGGTACTATTCGGTCCTCTCTTGTAAAAGGATGGCTAGCTTATGTTAATGCGTCAAGGTTGCCAATCGGTCTAGGGTGGGGGTGGGAACACAAGTTGTAGGAACGGGCTAAAAACATAGCATTAATGGGTGATCGATGACGGGGGATTGTTACTCCTTGTTCCCGACGGGGAGATTGATCAGTGTTGAATTCGCAGTGTCCGTTTGCCTGCCAAAGACGAGTGCTAACCGTGTAGTATCATTGTGCATAAGAATTAAACCGCACGCGAGACAGGAGAGAGGCCGAAGCGAGGTTCAGGGATTGATTATGGACACTTCGAAAGGAAGCATTTCTTCGAAAGCAGCCACGAGCTAACCAGCTATGCGAAACTGGCATTTCCCCGGAAGACGGCTGTGAGTGAGTCGAGGATGAAAGGATTCCGTCCTCGCTTCCTCGGCCTAATTTAAACAAGTAATCCCGACTAATAACTCACGATACAGCTAGGACCTCAGGTTTCTGGTCCTAGCTCGTAGTCTCAACTCAGGGAATATTGTTTATGGCGTAGCATACCGGCGTGTTTTGCGTAGAATGAGCGGGTGCCCAGACGGAAAAGGAGTGAAAGGGCCAGCCGTTCGCCCACTCCGAAGGACGTTCCTATCATACTTAGAGCGAAGCTAATAAATGGCTAAGCAAATGAGCTTAGCATCCTTGTCCTATCTCATTAGTTAGACAAGCTTCATTTGCGCCACGTCAGCGGGATCGGGGAATTCTTATGACTGGCCAGTTCCGCGGCGGGGACAACAAACGGTCCGTACCCTAAAGCGCGTGCTAAATTAACTGTGGCGCTACAATATCAAGATTAAATTGAAATTCCTATCAGTAACAATAGTGGCCAATAAGATTAACTCAAATGTCCAGATGATATTTAATCAACAAATACCCATCAGTGCGCTGATTTGTCTTCCTACAGCCTTTTCCGGATGTCCATTCTCCGGCTGCGCCGTTCTCTAGAGGATTTCCGATATTGTATGGCGAATACTCTCCCGATCGGCCTCGGAGATATGAATCTCGAATACTCTCTCTAGCGCTAGCACGCGCTGCTCATCCGACGCAAATTTCTCTAGCTCCTTGGATGTCGCTCCCAGGCGCTCTTTAAGCGTGTCGTTGAACAGGGTCACATCGCCCACAATCTTGTCACCATCTTCGTTGAGTAACATCCGCACGCAGACAACATGATAAGTGAACCAGCTTTCCCGGCTGGTACTCATGTAGTAGTTGATCATAGTGAAGTCCTCTGGAAGGAACTCCATCTCGGTGAAGCAGTAAGCCGGAATCCAATGACTGTCCCCGTTGCGAAATTCGTACTGCCACAGAGATTGGCTCCTGCTAGTGTGTTGAGCGATAGGTCCGTTGACTAGCCGGCCCGACTGTTCACCAACGTTGTGGAACTCATAATCCTGGACCAGTGGGATGGGCTGGTGTGGCCCATTGGAGCCAAATCCAACGTCTACAAGGTACTTTTGTTCATCGATAGTTACGATGTTGACCATGTGATTCCTTCATTAAAGCTCGTCAGCACTTCATGATTGAGCTTTACCCCCAAAGAAACGGGAAACTTACCATCCGTCATACTTGGGTCCTCTCCAATTCTTCGAGGCAGACATGGGCTGCGCAGCTTCGTTGACTCGCCCCCCTACGGTGGTCACATCGTATCCCAGGCTTCGTAGGACGGTGCCAAACAAGAGACTGTTCTCCATGCAATAGCCACCACGACGAGACTTAGAATCAACGATTTTCTCAAACACCTTGTAAGGATCAATGGAAATACTCCGATGAACAGCATAGTGGAGGTTCAGGTTTTCGAAAGGGACAGCTGCTAGTTGGTATCGTTGCAGCACCTTCAGCAAAGCTAATGCAGACTGGCCATGGAGGATCGCTACATCCTGCAAAGCTTCTCGATAATTTTCGGGGAGCCCGATCCGGTCGAAGTAGCGTCTGAGCTGTTCCAAGGGATATGTGGGACGCGCCGCCCAATCGACCATGCCGCCCATTTCGGGTAACTAGAAGTTGCAGATTCGGACTGAGTTGGCTGAGGGAGGTGGAAATTGACAGTAGAATCCTAGGTTTAAAATGCGAGTGAAAAACGCCAACTTTGAGAAGGCCCATGGATTACTGGGAGAGTAAGCTAAATAAGCCCGGCGTGATATGGTGGTTGATTACATTAAGTTGCTTGTGTTGAGCAGCGGGGTCATGAGATTCAGGCGTTGTTTGCCATCCACACAACAGCGCGGGCGATGGCAGTCTGGGACCTTACTGTGGCACTTAGGACATATAGCTTACTCTTTCCGGGATAGGGTGAAGCTAAGGGCAAGTCATTATGGGCTGGAGCGATACGCTAGCAATTAGTGCATGCACCATGGATTAGTGCTGACATGATAATGACCCAGTCATCGCATCAAGATTAACTGTCAGTCATGGCGTCGCAGCTTGACCTCGACGAATCAGCCACACATCTTATTTCGATATAAAATCATTATCTGGGCATCTAAAATTTACCCCAAAGCTTGTCTGGGTCAGCCGTGGCCGTCTTCACTTCGACTCCAGTCCGACGACCTAGTGCTCGGGCAGTCGTCTAGACAAGGGGCTCGCAGTAGCGCAAACCACGGTGCAATGGAACTAGGTCTAGAAGCTTTCCATGAGCGTATCAGAGAATCAATTAGTGTCGTTTTAGATCCCCGAAGCTAATATGCAGTCAAAGCCGGTTCATTGACGGACTGACGGACGGCCTAATATCCTACGGCCACTTATCATACGAGGTCCAAGGCCTACCTCAGGGGGCACAAATGTTAATTTACTTCGGAAGGTCGGAGGTGAACAATGTTAAATGAGCATGGAAGGCGACCTGCCTATTCAGGGAATCCCCGTGTGAATATTTCAGGGATAGACCTAATTATCGTGCAGCAGACCTGCAGCACCTGCTAGTATCTGTCGGTCGCTCGGTCTAAATAGCATTTCCCATAGTCGTACACCAATATTTCTTTCCTTCTCTTCTCTCCCTGTCATTCTTTTTTTCTGTCTTGCCTGGTTGATTTTCATATTGATGTCCAGTCAAGCAACATAATGTCTTTCAAACATGGAGATATGGCAATCCAGGAGCTGGGCTCCCGGCAATACAAGGATCGTGATGATGAAGACATGGCAAAGTTCGGCAGGAAACAGCGTTTCGAGGTGAGCAATAATTCTGTGTCTGTACGTCGCAACTAATGTAGGCAGAGAAACTTTGGGTTCCTGTCAATGCTGGGCTTCACAACCACGATGATGTGTACTTGGGAGGCAGTCCTTACGTGAGTGTCGACATCTCCACTGTCGAATGTCAGGCAGCTCACCAATGGTACAGCGCTAATCCAGCAGCCATGACTGACGGGGGACCAGCAACCCTCGTCTACGGGTTTATCTTCTGCTGGATTGGAGCTTTGTTAACAGCAGCTTCTCTTGCCGAAATGGCCTCGATGTACCAGCCCCTTTGAACGGTCTTTGAAAAGAGCAACACTAAGACATTTGTCACACAGGGCTCCTACGTCGGCAGGTCAATATCACTGGGTGTCGATTCTTGCCCCTAAAGGCCAGGCTGTCTTCCTCAGCTGGGTAACTGGATGGTTGGACATGATTGGATGGTGGGCCAACACTGCGTCGGGTGTGTATTTCGCTGCGACCGTCCTGCAGGGCCTTCTGGTGTTGAACTATGATGGATACGACTTTCAACGCTGGCATGGAACCCTGCTCATGTTCGCGGCGCTGGTGATTTGCCTTTTGGTCAACTCCTTCGGGGCAAGGCTCCTACCCAAGATCGAAGGTCTAATTCTCATTCTCCATACCGCCGGCTTCCTAGCCATCCTGATCCCCTTGGTTTATCTGGCTCCGCACAAGAACGCCGAATTCGTCTTTGCAAACTTTACCAATACCTCGGGATGGAAGAGCTCTGGCCTTACCTGGCTGATTGGCCTGATGGGGACGAATCTTCCATTTATTGGTACGCTCACACTCCTCGGGCGGACTTATCAATCTAACTGACTCTGTAACCCAGGATATGATGGCCCTTGTCACATGTGTATGTCCTCGACCACATCCTAACTATATTTCAACACATATCTAACACATCTGCAGCGGAGGAGGTAGTGAACGCCTCGGTTATAGTCCCCTGGTGCATGATCGCGACCATCATGCTAAACGGCGTCCTCGGTTTCGCCATGGTCCTAGCCTTCCTCTTCTGCGTTGGCGACCTCGACGCCGCCCTCGACAGCGCAACAGGATACGACTTCATCGAAGTATTCTTCAACGCGACAAAATCCCACGCCGGAACATCTGTAATGACCGCCATCGTAATTGCGCTGACTATCTGCGCCTCGTTCGGGTTCCTGGCCTCCTCATCACGTCTTACCTGGGCACTAGCGAAGGACAAGGGAATTCCATTCGCTGATTTCCTATCTCATGTACGAAAACACCTCCCCCTTGCTTACAAGTACCGTCATTACTAACATAACTGAAATAGATAAACTCCAGGGCGTCCGGCTCGGCCCTCCCCCTCCGCGCCATCGCCCTCTGCGCCATAATCACAGCCATTACCTGCCTCATCAACATCGGCTCGAGCGCGGCCTTCAACGCCATGATCTCCCTGACCACAGCAGGACTCTTCTCTTCATACGAAATTGCGATCGTACTAATACTCATCAAGAAGCTCAAGAACGAGCCTCTCCAGTACGGCCCATGGAAGATGGGCAGGCTCTGGGGTATCCTGGTCAATATCGGTTCGATCTGTTTCTTGACCATCACTATCTTCTTCTCGTTCTTTCCCGAGGAGTTGCCAGTCACGCCAACAAATATGAACTGGTCGATTGTGGTATTTATGGGAGAGTTTCTCCTGGGCTTGGGGTGGTATTTGGTTAGGGGTAGGAAAATTTATCACGGGCCGGTTATGGACATGCCGGTTGCTGTTGGGAAAAATGCAGTGGTCGGTGGGGATTGTGTGGATGAGGAATAAATCTACCTGTCATAGGTCCGTTAGGGGGGTGGGATGGCATTGAGGAGAGATATATATAGAACTAATGTGTCAGTGTATAGTGTTTTCATCATGGTCTGTATGCCGGTCTACGCTAGGAGCTAAAGACAAAAATCATTCTTCGTGTCCCGCGTAACAGGTACTTCGAAAAGCATACTTCAACTACTGGTAGTATGTACACCGGGAGACTATATTAATGTATTATGTTGTAGCCAAAGCTACAAGCGCTCTTTCTATTATATCCATTTTGGTATCGACTCCTCCGCAACGGTCACTTCAACCAACTTGCTTATCCCATTACGACCGTACCGTCCTAACTCAACATCACCCAGAATGTGCCGCCTGTCCTCGACATCATCACCTACGGCTACGCGGTAGCTGCGCGAGTTGTGATAATCGCCCCAAGTGTTTTGCCTTGTCCTCCTACTATCTGCCTCCCGCTGCGACCGTGATCGACTGCTGTTGACTAGCAGACGTACAGAGTCCCGCACTAAGGTCCGAATACAGGGAATAGATGCCGTCGTGATGACCAAGTAGCATTCTAGCAAGGCCCAGATGGTCAACCGGTTTGTTGCAGCCGATTCATCGTCGATGATGGAGAGGGAGGGGAGATTAATGATCCGCATGATTGATCCTACCATGGCGCTGAAACGTCGGTTAGAATTGTGTTGGGTTAGACAATAGTTATAGTACATACATGAGCCCCAGGCTCATCAGAATGATGAGGATTGTCTTTGTCCGTCGTTTGAGGTTTAGACTCCACAAGGTGTATGCGGGGAATATTGCGAGGTAAAGGTCGGTAGCTGTATTAATAGCTGTGAATTCCACTATTAGTGCCATTTATTGCAAGAATATTGGCATGGAAGCTTACTGCACTGCACGTAGCTATATATGATTAGAATACTTGGATTCCAGCATTTGCTCTTTACACTAACATCCCAGATAGCGCGAATATCAGAGCACCGGGCCAGAATAGTCACTGGACTGGCATAATTGGCGATGAGTTGAAGGGCGAATATGAGCCACAGTAGATGTCCAGTGAGATATTTGTGTCGGAAAATGGGTATTAAATATAACACGAAAGCGACCCTTCCTGTGCCCGTGCTGACGATCGTGACGCATTGAAACACCGTGTAGAGCTTTGTAGTCAATATACGGTCCGTTAGATCGAGTTCGTAACCATGTCGTCCATATCCATGAGAGATTGCTATGGTGATAAGGATGGAAGATGTAATAGCCAAAGCCTGCCATTGTAAGCGGAGTTGTATGATCGTTGCAAGCGGTTGCATACATAAGCCAAGACCATGGTTGCATCGTCCCAAGAAAGGTTGCGAATACGATACTTCGCAATGAGCCTCAATAGCATGATCAGGGTTGCTACACCCGTTGCTGCCCACGTGAGGCCCAGAATGCCAGGGCCAGCATTGTAGGATGCAGACTCCATGCGTTAATAGCCTAGCCTGTAGGCTTGCTGGCACACCCGGTGCAAGCTTGCATGATGCGAGAGGAGAAGGCAGCGCGTGAGACGGGGACGGTGTTGCTTTTTATTCCGAGGGTGCCGGCGATGGTTTCAGGATTCGTGGATCTACCGTTCGGAGCTCCTCCATGCGAAAGCTAAACAACACCGAGTAAAGGCCTCATGTGTGATCGGCGGATTCGAGTATTTTTAGCCAGGGGCAGGTTGACACACAGGTCCGCTGATTCTCTGCATGGATCATCGTTTCCGATGAAAGAACGTTGGTACAAAGGTGGTGGCCGTTTGGGTCTCCCTTTTTACATCCATGGCCTAGTCGAGCGTGAAGGCCAGAAGGATGGATGAACCAGTGGGGCGGCGTTGCTCCGACTGTAGTTTCATGTCTGTTTGGGAACTTTTAAAGTTCAACCTTAGCTTCAAGTCGCGTTAAATATTTAGCCGCCAGGAGATCGACTTCAGGGTCCGACACCGGTTTCTGCCTATAACCATGGAACCGTGCCAGCCAGGGACCATAGTGCCGGACCAAGATCCCTTTTAGTCCATATACAACAAAAATAGCGTTTACGTTGTGGTAGGGGCTTGTTCTGGGGGAGCGGAATCGGCACCATGGTTTCAGTTGATCCTCAAAGTAAACTCCGGGCAAATCCCGCCCGTGCAAAGGTTAGGTTGATCAGCACCCAGTATGCAAGTTCCTCGCAGTGGTCCGTGGCTGGCTCGTTTCTCGCCATTGTGTTTCTCCAAACAGCCAGCAGCGATAGTGAATCTCTACGGAGTAGCAGTGACCGATAGCGCACCCCTCTGGGTTAGCGCTTCTTGTGGTCGCCGGACGGAAATAACCCATGCAGAAAGCGGTTGGCCGGTACTAGGGTGGAATGTGGCATAACAGTCACGCCAATCGTTGCCCCAATTACGCCTATTCGAGGTTGTTATCATCCTTGGGGTCTCTAAGAGCTACTTGGCATATCTACCTTATATGACGCCACACTATATTATGTTGAGATCGACGGTGGAATCCCCAGATCGAAGGTTCAGGCATGCACAGGCATATGTGAAAATAATCACCCTATTGGCGTTCGGCAGCAGCCGGCAATATTTTCCGCAAAATAACAGCCAGTGGTACTATTTCGCTGAGTGCACTTTGCATCATGGGGATTTGGTAATGAGGGGGTTAGAATTGCGAGTAAGAAACGGATAACTACTCATACAGCGGTGACCAGGATCAACAATGGCTTTAGTTAATGATATCTTTGACTGCTACAGAAGCTTTAAACTTTTGGAACAATCAACAATATCCCATGCAGCCCTGCAGCCCTGCGGCCAGCTACTAACTGACAAGACCCATTTCCAGCATTGTTTCGGCATAATTGGCCACAAATGGAAATCATTGGCATAACTCCCACCCCCTGCATATTTGCATCACCAAACAGAGATAAACACCCCTGGAAGGGTAGCTTTGGCGAGACACGTGTGTTCCCCTATTGGCTACTATCATGTCTATATCGCTATATTCCTTCTGACCCTATGGCCAATCGCTGCGGTATGTTGAGGTCTGAATATTTTTGCTGCTTTTAGTCTTCGCTTTCTTATTCCACATTCCGTACATTGACGGCACCCAGGAACTTTAAGAAAGGAGATACCCCGTAGCCATGTCCCGTATTGGAAAGTAACTAGGCGTTATCGACATCAAACGGCGCTGCTTGTGCTGGTGATCAAAAGCTTCAATCCACTTTCGACTCGCGCTACAAGCCTCGAACAAGGCTATACATTGCAAAATGCATCTCAAGCGCGTAGCTGTCCTCACGCTCTTCAGTTATGTCACCGCCCTTCCCAGTGACATCAATCTAGGCGTCGCCTTGCGAGCTTGTGATGCTGAGGCCTGTGATATGGAAGTAAGAATGTCTTCCCGCGCAAAGAATTAGATGGGAGAGGATAGCTAACAGCTCATAGTGTAGAATGGCAGGCAGCAGTGGGGGCAATTGTGGGGGCAATCCAGCTCTAAATCTTCTTGGGCTTCCGTTACTTAGCACAAACACGCCGTAAGTGTCCCGGGCTGTGCCATTTGCGTGTTTTACATATTTGATCTAAGAACGACAGCAATTGCACTTGTTCCTGGAGCAATTCTTCAAGTGCAGCCCCAGTCACACTTACAGCTACGGAGACCGTCACCGACGTAGAACCGTCCACGACTACGATGACTACCACCGACACGGAATCGGCCACGGCTACAGAGACTACTACTGACACACGGTCGCTTACGACAACACAAACTACAACTGATGTACAGCCTACCACCGCTACAGAGACGGTCACGGACACGCAGGCGTTGACAGCCACCAAAAGTGTTACCGAAACGCAGCCTACAACAGCTACGCAAACAGTCACCGACACAAAGTCTTATACAGTGATGCAGACTGCTACTGACACAGAGTCCCTGACAACAATACAGACTATCAACAACACAATTACAGCCACACAGACTACTACCGACACAGAATTCAAAACACAAACCATCAACAACACAATCACAGCTATACAGACTACTACCGATATAGAGTCATATACAAAGACAAAGACGAAGAACAACACCATCACAGCCACGCAGACTACGACTGACATAGAGTCTACTACAGCTACACTTACTATCAACAACACACTCATGGCCACACAGACAACCACAGAAACCGAGTCTTTCACAGCTATGGGGATCATCACAGCCACTGCATCCTTTACCGCCACCCAGACTACCACTGATACAGAGTCCATAACAGCCACACAAAACATCACAGATACGCAAACTATGCACCACACAGAGTCCGTCACGGCTACAGAGACCATAACCAATACGGAATCTGTCACAGCTAAACCCCCACCAACCACTGTAACGGACACTCAAATATCCACAACGACTGCCACCCAAACCGCTACCCCTTCTCCAGAAGTTGGGGCCTGCTTCTGCTGCACTGAGCAGGTCCGACTGCCGTATGAACTGAATGGCAATTGTGATAATATCCCAGTTTCTAATTCGACCGACGGCTGCCCATCCGGCGACGATCCGAAGCGGAACCACTTGCTTTGTTGCGATTCGAGTGGATATTGTACCCAGATGTCATAGACATTGATTGCTTTTCTGTCGCAAATTATATTTCATTCTCCCAATGAGGACGTAAGGTTTCCATTGGCATTTTATATACTATATAACTATAAGAATAATATTAATACTGCTGGATTTATATGCAACTATGTATACACACGTGCCGCAACAGGCAATCGAAGATATGAGCCCTCTTTCTGTTAGCATTGCATCTCTTATCCCAGTGTCGCACAGCGGTAATGACTCGACTTTTCTAAGATTAAAGCATGTAGCAGTCGTCGAATAACCATTGCTGACATGGATGCTGGCAGCATCAAATGCAGACAATAGGGTGTTTGGAGTATAAGCTCCCCGCAGTTTATGTCCGCTATTTATGCACCCTATCCGACTGTCAGCGCGCTAGCACACTCAGCGTCCAGGAGATTCTATCCGCAACAAGTCCGAGTTGTCGGAGATGACTACAGTTCCAGATTACTATGATATGTGATGCGAGGTCGAGACGTAGTGAATCATGTTCAAGGTTGTGCGTTACTCCAGATGCAACTCCGCTTTACCGAGGCTGTTAAGAAGGCCGGAGGAGATACTTAGCGTGATCTGTGCTGTAGATTGGTTAGCGTCATCTTCCGGGGAAACTTGGAAGGAAATTGGGTGGGTGCAGCAAGCTAAAGTCAAGATTTCCGAATTGATACAGCTTGGGGCTGCAAAAGAGCGGAAGATGACAAATATTTGCGCCGGGTTTGCGCATAGAACATGGTAGATTAGGAAAGTAGAGAACCATGGTTACTATATCAGCCGCACCGATGACGAGGGGAGGGAAGGATTAGGGGTCCGAGGCCTGAACCCTGCGTGACTGTCTGTCAGACGCAGGTCTCGCATGGGCCGTGCATCGCTAAATAATCTCCCCAAGGGGTATGGCGTGATCAACATCTGACGGTATCCTGCTCCCATTCTATTATATGAGAACCAATCGAACGACTCCCCAACGCTATTTTGACAAGAGCTATTCAGGTCATATCGCCTTAGCGCTGACTGTAGTACCCTAACAAACAGCGTAGAAGCAAAGGCCAAGGACGATACTAGCCAGTAGGCGCATTGATCTCGTTCACGCGAACCGCTGTGTCGGTCCCTCGGTCTTCTTTATTGGCCTCCCTCCAGCGCAACGTCAGATGCGGCTAGAAAGAGCCGTTTAGTAGACCGCGTCATAACACCAGGCGGAGATCATAAGCATAGTATAAAGCCAGCCATAATCCACCTCTATTCCGCGAGTTCCCTTCCACAAGTTGCGCAGTCTGATTCCCATTCGTTAGCACATATTTCAAGCTTGCCGCATTACTCTTTTACAATCATCCATAATGGCTCAGACCATCGCCGACGTAACTGCGACTATCAAAGACGCACTACCCAAGCTTTCGCCTACCGGCGATATCCCAGACTCAGCACGGTTCGAACTTCTCGATATGTTGGACCAACTGCGTGCAGCCGTGGAGCCCCCTATCCAGACAGTGCTGAACATCTGCTGGGCGGTAGGGCGCCTAGTACTTGATTGATCTGAAAAAGCAAATCTCAATTAGCTAACTTAATGCCACTGGGATCTCGTCGCAGCATCATCCCCTAGTCGCAATCCGCACTGCTATTGGAATGGGAGTCTTTGATGCATTTGCCGCTACCGACGGTGTTGAACTGTCTCTTGACCAGTTGAATGAAAAGACCAAGGGCGACAAGGACCTGCTGGGTAAGATGATTCTTTCCAAGCAGTACAATTCTCCCAGTCCTTCTCAATATCTTATTAATATGATGGCATTCACGCTACAGTCAGAATTATGCGCCTCCTCATTGCTAACCGCCTGTTCACCGAACCTGGTGTCGAAAAGTATAAGCCCCAGCCTTTGGCTTTGGCGTTCGCCACAGGCGCTCCGCCTAGCGAGGTTATCAAGAACTTGTACGTGACCTAATCCCAAATTCGAGGGTGAGGGAGAAACAGTGTGACTAACATCTAAACATTACGCTCAGTCACGTCAACTTCCGTGCCTCTGCATTTACGCATGACTTTCTCGAAGCCCGAGGATATCGCACCCCAGATGACGCCTACGACACTCCTTTCCAGCTAGCGTACGGGACCACCCTGCACCACTTCGAATGGCTTGCACAGGACCCGGCCGAGCAGCATGCTTTCAACACAGTGATGGAGACCAGCAATCGCGCAGTGGAGGGCGCTCAGTGGTATGACTTCTACCCCTGGCAAGAGCGGCTGTCACTGGCCACCGGTGATAATGTGGGGGAAGAGCGCGTATTCTTGGTCGATATTGGCGGCGGCAAGGGTCACGATTTGCAAGCATTCAAGAAAAAGAGAAGCCCCATTGGCCGCCTGGTGCTTCAGGACCTCCCTGAGGTCATTCAGGACATCAAGGAGCCTCTTCCAGATGGCGTTGAAGCTGTTAGCTACAGCATGTTCGATGCGCAGCCTGTGCGTGGCGCCAAAGCTTACTATATGCGGACGGTGCTGCATGACTGGCCGGATAAGCAGGCCTTACAGGCGCTGCAACGTGTTTGGGAGGCAATGGCTGACGATTCCGTGCTGCTGATCAATGAGAATACTGTTCCCGAAACCTGGGTACCGCGGTTCAATACCAGCGTCGATCTCATCATGATGAATATGTTTTCTTCGCTGGAGCGCACGGATAAGCAGTGGCTGAGTCTTTTGGAGCGTGCCGGATTCAAGGTCGTCAAAGTCTGGCGCTCGGACGATCAGGGAACGGGGTCCAATGCTTTGTTTGAGGCCGTTCGTGTTTAACTAGTGTCATTTGCTGTCAATCGATCAAGAGACGTCAGGATATAGTAGAGGTAAAGGAAACCCTTATAATCTTTTTCCCCAATAGTTTTATGATAACAATGCTTTTGCTTTTGGGCACTACGTAGAGATCACCATCGAGCGATGATAGAGTGTCGATACTAGAGACTCTTCACTAATAGCATTGTTGCCTGATTCGTATGGGAACTCCAATTGTTGCATGCCAAGTGGGTTCCGAATACCTTAGTCGCTTTGGTAAAGCTGGTGTTTGTTCTCAAACGGTCCGTGGAGTAGTATGGCCGATTATGAGTATTTGTCGCTCGATAGGCTCCGGGGCTACATCTTGGTGTCTATCCGGCTATTGGGAATTGCTCTTGCAGCCATTATATGTCCATTAGTATCGTGCCAAAATTATAGGAATTTATACCCTAATGCTCAATATACAATCAACAGCAGTCCCGACAAGGTACGCAGAGAAAACAACGTTGCGATCCGAAGTAAGTGTTTACACCGGTCCGTGTGTAGTATGAAAAATATCCAACGCATCTTGCAGGTGCTGCTCCACATCTAGCTCCCAGATCCAGCGCATGCGCATGTCCAAATCCTCGCGAATTTTGCCAACATCATCCAACACACCCTCCTTTTGGCACTCATAGAGCATGCCGGCATCCCGACTAGTGCGCACAAGTTGCTGAGTGCGAGGTCTTCGCACGGCATCATACGCCATGAATGCCCGCTCCAAGTGGCTCTTCTCACGGACTTCACCCAAGAGACGAGATAGAACAAAGACGTCTTCCACTGCCATACCGGCTCCAGCGCCCTGATGCGGTGTACTTGCATGGGCTGCATCTCCCACGAGACAGATGCGACCATCCCGGTGATAGGTCCTAGCGGGCGCATGATCAAACATGGCCCATATATCTGCATTCCGCATCAATGACAAGATGGCTCGGACATCTGGTCCCCAGCCCTCAAAGTCCTGCAACATCTGTTTCTTGTTTCCTGGTAGCACCCACTGTGACCCATGCTCCCAAACACGATTTTCCTTTGTCCGGAAGGCCACGACATTCATTGTCTTGCCGTGCTCAATCGGAAAAGTCAAGAGATGGCCGCCGTATCCCCAGTGAAAATGGTTATTGCGTGCTGTGTACTCTCCTAGAGCGGCAACTGCTTCATCCATCGGGATCAGGCCTCGATACGCATATTTACCTGTGAAGACAGCATTAGCTGCCTCCTCTCCTTCGAGCAGAATTTGCCGCACTCGGGACTTGATTCCATCACACCCGAGAACTGCATCGACATATACGGAGGTCCCATCTGCGAAGTGCACTGTGGCTCCGTCTGTTCCCTCATCGATCGATAACAGTCTTTTGCCGAAACTCACGTACCCCTCTTCAGGTGGCAATAGTTCGGTCATGGCCTCAAGAAACCGTGCGCGATGAACGCTACTCCTTGCAACCGGCGCATGCACCTCGTGCAGGTATTCGCCTGCTTTCAGACTGTTCGACGGCGCGCCTTTTCCATCCATGCCCATTCGATAACTAGACCAAAGCTTCTTATCCAAGGCGCCCGTATCTGGCTGAAATGTTGCATGCCGATTGTATGCCGCTGCTAACTCGGTGTCAATGAGCTCCATGGCACGAATGGAGTTTGACCCGAAGGCGATTCCCGCCCCAATCTCAGAGAACTCTGGAGTGGCTTCATAAAGGTGCGGTACGACATTCTGACGGGAGGTGTGCTTCAACAGTGCCAGGAGGAGGGTGACACCTGCGATACCGCCACCGATAATGGCGATTCGGAGAGGTTTGTCATTGTTGGACACGGTCATGTCTGGATGGGTTCTTGTTGCATGCAAAATTCTGGGCAGATCTTCACGGGCGATCCGGTTAGTGCGCTACGTTGGTATACGCAGGGACAATTATTTGACATGGTAGAACGACAACGCGGGCTAGAAGGAGGGGTAAGCTGCTTCGGAATGGCTACTTTCTAGCGTTCTGAGCTAAGGGTTCTTTGGTGGTCAGAAAGCTCCTAGTGTCTACGCTAGGGTCTGGTAGTGAGCTTGCTAAGCACACCGGGTCGGGCTCCCCCGTTCCCCGGCGGTCCCCCAAGCTTGCCAAGTGTGCCCCAAAGCTTATTGAGATGATCGATGATATCCCCTACAGAGAGCGCGCGAAGACGTTGCTAGAAGATAAGTTCGAAATCCCAAGAGTGATGGCAGTATTTTCCAACTCACAAGCGATCAAATCTTGTCACGCGGGGTACGCGTACCGGTGACCCTGACTCGTCGCGAGACCAGGATAAGATTTAGCGATGCCGCTAAGAGCTATCCTAGCAGGGGACTGCATCAGCATCGTACGTATATCGGCCTATCATCCTCCGCGATAATGTGCACACCGCAGCCACGGTCGGCTATACGTTCAGGACGGGAACGAGACCAAGTGACGTAAAATGCCAACATCATCGTCGTTTGATATGCAGTACCCACGGTCTATTCTTCAAACAATGCAATTTCCCAATATATGAAATTCCAGAGCGAAGGTTCCTTTAACGTGTAACCTCAAGGACATAACTTTTGGGCCAAGCCTCATGAAAAGGGCTGGCAAGCATCGAGCGGCCGGTCGAGCCACTAGATGTAGACTAAGGCTAAGTCTCGAAGCCACATTGACTGGCCGACTCCACCTGTTGATTAATCTCAGTGACGATCTCAATATCCCCAATAGCCTTCTGGATTAAGTCTGAGCGACTACTTCCTGACCGATGCCGTGTCCGACTTGCTCCCGAGGTAACATGATTTGACAGCTTTGACAGCTCGTACGGCGGTCGCACATAGCTGGGGTAGGAAGATGAGCCATCCTGGGGACGACTAAAAGATTTTCCGCTGCGCCGCAATTTTCTGTCCCTGACTAGGCGCACGATTGGCATCAAGCTGGGCAGGCAGGATACCACCACCCCGAGGCTGCTCTCGATCGCAGTCCACAGGTGGGAGTAAGTATCTGACCCTATCAGACCGAATTCAATTAGTAAGTCTCGCAACGAGTGACAAGCAATAGAAATCATACAAGTGATATCCGAATCACTGATTGCAATCAGGTTTCCGAGACGCACAATCGAGATGGCGCAGACACTATCAATCCATGATGGTCAGACCGCTGGACTTCTGAAAAACGTCGCAGATATCGTACATGATACCCAGAGTGAATATAATCGACAAACCTATCTTCCTAGGCCAGGGGATTTGGAGTTTCCAGATCTCTCGTGTGGGCAAAACCAACAAAAGGACGTCGGTGCACAAGTTGGTCGCAGCTAGTGTGGTCACGAAAGGGACAAAGTCTATGCAGTGCCCTTTAGTGGTCTTTTTTTGCCACTCGTGATGTATTGGGATACATTGGAAGATGGCAGTTGTTTGAAATGCAACGTACCACGCAGCCAAGAACAACATGACCGAGCGGCACGCAAATATCATGGAAGGCACTGGAAAAATGCGCTGGTGAAATAAGACGATAGACAGCTTGATGACCGGAAGGCATGTATTCCAAAAGAGCTGCATCACATAGAGGTTCTATCCTACCGGATTCGTGGTCAGCCTCAGTTCTATCCCTCGACTGTCACGGGAAATAATGGCAAATACCAAGGAATATTCCTGAATAGTAGCAGCGGAAAGCGTATCGACATGTTCCCCAACGCCGGCGTGGAGACCTTCAAATCACTATTAGCGATCACGTTTCCAATGGCTATGACTAGAAGGATCAGTCACTTTGGAAGAGAAGTGCATTAACTGCAAGAGCCAAAGCCTTTGATAACATCAGCGTGTCTTCGCAGGAAGCAACGAGCGAATTCCTTACTAGAGCGACAATACTCAGGTAGTCTTCTATAAACAGACTCAGACCCTGTAACCTGCGCGCCCAGAGTCTCAGGAAAACTGTTGAAATTGACAATACGACCAGGATGCTATTGATGATGACAATCTGTAGCTGTCTGGTGTTGTACGCGCCCGTCAAAGTCAGCCCCATGGTGTGCTCGGCATATCAGAACTATTCACTCTTTGTCTGTGTCAGACATTGCCAGTTGATTTACTTATAAGTCAGTAAGGCTATAATATATCCAACCAGGGTGTAAGGCATGCCTCATAAAACCCCCGGTCACTCTGAGACGCCATCGTAGGACGGAGAGGCTGGCGGATGCAGGCATTCGGGACAACCCCGGTCTAGTCCAGCAATCAGGATGGCCTAGAACTTAGCATGTCCCACAAAAAGGGCGCCGTTCGTACCACAGGATCTAGCATATAGTGAGCACATTACCCCCTGTCAAATTGCAGTCGGAAGTTTTGCTTTTCCCAAACTCTCTTGCGCGTACGCGGTCGCAATCCCTGTTGTCAATAACAATACTTTCCACGCCTGTGCCGAGAGCCAAGAAAAATGGTCATGTCTACAGCTGATTCATCTAATGCTTTGTATACCAAGGATCATGCGGCGCTTAAACCCTTTGACTCATCAAGTGATGGGCTACGTACAAAGGACGGCATCGTCTTAGTTCCGCAACCATCCCAGGATCCTGAAGACCCATTGGCATGTTGTTTATCTCCTTTCATCATTAACTCTGTCCCCACTGAATACTGACTGCTCACCAGAATTGGGACAGAGGAAGGAAGCTAAGAAATCTGACTATTCTCTGCATGGCAGGGTTCGCGGGGACCGCATTAGATCTCGCTAACCAACTTGCTATGAAGGACCAGGCCAAAAATTGGGACAAGGAACTTATAGACATCACGTACACTATATCTGCCTCGATTGCAGGTATTGCTTATGGGCCATTGTTGATTAATCCCGTGGCGCAGGCACTTGGTCGCGCTGCCATCATATTCTGGTGCCTTGTGTTAGCGATGGCCTGTGCGATTTGGTCAGCTTGCATGACAAGCAGAGGCGACTACGAGCGTTTCGTTGCATCGCGTCTCTTTGACGGCATTTTTGGATCAATTCCGTCCATCGTTGGCGTGGGAGCGGTGTATGACATGTTCTTCCTCCACGAGCGTGGCAAGGCATATGCCGTTTTTCATGTCTCCTTTCTGTTTGGCACTGTTGCGGGCCCGACCTTTGGGGGGTTCATCGTCCAGCATACCGATTGGCCCTGGGTGTTCTGGTGGATTGTCATCGCACAGGGAGTCGTTCTGATCCTTGGTAGGTGTATAGCCCTGAAGTGAATAACAGGTGGGCATCTGTCTTATCTTATTGTAGCTTTCCTTTTCCTGGAAGAGACCAGATACTTTCGCGACGGGGAGACATTATCCGCTGTCAAGCCTAAGAGCTTCTGGGCTAACCGAATGGCCACCCTGCTTCCTCATAAGACAGGGATTTCCCGCGCAGAACTAGTAGCCTTCGTCTCCTCCTCCTATCAATCAATCTCTGACTCAAATGCAGGGTCGCGTCGCTCACCTACCATTCCGCATTGGTCTCTCACCCGTCGGTCTCCTTATTGGCATCTTCCAACTGGCATCTTTCGGCTGGTTCGTTGCAACACACAGCCTCTTGACTGTGTGGCTGGAGAAACCTGTCTCAGTTGGCGGATGGGGATTCAGTCCTCAGCGAAACGCCCTCTGTACGTCTTCCTCTCCCTCTCAATTACTCCAAAGGCTAACCACCAAAGTCATCTTCTCCCTCTGGGTTGGCCTGCTGACAGCCGAACTATGGGGCTACCTCTGCAATGACCGGATCGCTCTATGGATCTGTCGCACGCGCGAAAAGGGCGTATGGAAACCCGAGTGTAGGCTACATGCCCTCTGGATCCCCTCCCTCATCGTTCTTCCCATCGGCCTCGGCATCGTTGGCTCTGCTTTGCAATACCATCTACACTACATGGTCCTCGCTTTAGGTGCCTATCTCATCACCTTTGCTTCTATGAGCTCTGTTCCCGTCGCTGTAACCTATATGATCGAATGCGTCGCTTCGCAGCCCACCGAGGTGGGTGCTTTCATGGGCGCGTACCGTCTTACGCTGGGGTTGGTTGTGCCGTTCTTCATCAATCAGTGGGTTGCCCGGGTGGGCTTCGGTTGGGTATATGGAATGATGGCTTTCTTTTCCATCTTTGCATTTGGGTTCGTGGTTGTGTTGATGATGTTTGGGGCTAGCTTGAGGGAGCGGTCCTTGGCCAAGTTCGCTCCTAGTGAGATTGGGGCCAAGGTTATATATACCAGCGACGAGGAGGGACCGTAGGATGTTAGAGCAGAAGGATCTGCTATAGCAATGCCACAGATGAGGTTACGGGTTCAACTCTTGGGGATGCCAGGTGAACCTTAGCAAAAAGCAATTTCTTTGTGTAATCACCCAACTGGCGATATGTGTTATCGGAAATATGAGGTAATTGATGCTATGTGCCTGATCCACTGTACCACAACAGCGTTGCTTATTGTAAAAGATACCAGTATTCATCAATTTGTTGATTCAATCGTTAATTTTGGATGAGGCACAGCGAGAGTACCCTTGCTCTTGTGAGTAGCCGAGGTTATGTGATTTACTGCTGGTAAATCTCATAGCGGATGTCCGGAACTGAAGGGTGTCCGAGAAAACTAATGTGGGAGATTTAAATCTGTTTCATACAGTTTATCATAGTTCATACCATCCCTTCATCTCAACTGAAGTTCTGGATTCCATGGGGCCGTTTGGCGCGCCCTAATGGAGGGCCCTGTCAGCACCCTCAATCCAACTGCACCCCAGTCAGACATCAGCCGGCCCACTAACGCATTGCGGCAAGACTCCATTTCCCATCCCAAGAAGCTCACGTAGGAAAAGGTAATTTAAGCCAGCTGGATATGGCCCCTGTACTCTGCGTTCAAAAATTATCTCTCTCTAAAATCAAGCATATGAATATCCAAACCACATTACTATCTTGCAGAGCATGCATGGACAAACCACCGTGCCAATATTGGCATTGCGTTTCATCCCATCACACAAAACGATGTGATGTTGAAGCCACGTGTATGCTACTGCCCGCCCATCGGTCTTACAAGCAAGCATGTCTCACATTAAGATCCAATAAGGGTCTATCCAGGGCCCCATAAGGGGTCAAAGTACCAAGATAAGCTCCACCGTTACAAAGGGTCTCGCCCTTAGCTTTAATGATTACCGGGTTCTATTGGCGGTTTGCGCTTCTGCCTAGTCTAAGTAGTTTGGACCTATCGATCAGCCAGGAACTGGTGTTTTCCACTTTCACCCTAAGCTTTGTACCGCATGAGCTTTATCTTCCCGTCATCCTGCTGTTTCTGACTGTCAGTCTTTCTTTGTAGACTTATTATCTACAGCACGATGGCATACGCCCCATCCCCTCGCTTGTTAGTGACCCTCTTTCGCACGTTGCTCAATACCTTTATCCACTCTGCTGGAGACGATCCTCTGCTTGCACAAGCTCATGCCATATGGAAACATGAAGCTACACATTCCGATAATGTATTAGTGATGGTACCTATTGTTATCAACATCATTTTGAGCGGGCTGGTAAGTCAGGGACCTAAAAGAAACTTCCCCCCAAAATGGCATATTGACAGGCTTCAGATCCGGTATATCCTTGGACATGTTTTGATGTCTATTCTCATACTTGAAAGTGTGGAAAATCAGGCTTCTAGATACATTCCTGAACTGAGCGGCAAGAAGCCTGGTCCATCCAGCCGTCACCTACTCCAAACCATCGCCACCCTGTACCGCAAGGGTAGTTTACGTCTCCTCCTGAATGGCATTGGCTCCGCCTCCAGCTATTGGGTAAAGCACTTGTGCACGAAGCAAATGCTAATGAAAGCATTATTTCTTCCTGGCCCGGTCGCGTATGTCGTCTCCTCGGTGCTGCTCGCTGAATACCATTTCTTGTGGACAGCGCGCACCATACTTCCAAGGGACCAGCAGCGCTTCGTGCCAGATTCTCGCGATCGCCAACGATGGAAAGCTTTGGTACCGGCCACGGCACTATATGCGGTTGCTGAATCGTTTATGATGCATGTACCTGCCATGTTTGACAGCGACCTCGCACCGTCCGCCACCACGGAGATCACGAAGGCATACTTGTCGGGTATTGTCGGGTCCGACATCTTGGTGTCGGGAGTCATGCTCGCCGCACAATTGTTGCTTTTCTTCCCTTCATTTATAGCGTTGATTCTCGTTCAGACCAGTCTGTTGCCGTCTGCATGTGAGACGCTGGTCTCAGCGCCGGTGAACCAGCGGCGACAGCAGCAGCAGCGGGGTAGTCGTGTTGGGGAGATCTTTGCAGCGTTCAACAAAGTCCCACTTCTGGTACAGGACGTGGTGAAGATCATTGGGGTGAGGCATGTGTTGTGGTGTGTTGAGTTGCAGGCAAAGATGTGCTTGAGTCTGGTTGGGGTTTCCGCTGTGGTGCATTTGGCGGTTCATAATATGAAGTAACGTCTCACGTCTGACAGATGACTAGAGACAGTGGTTCGCTTCAGGGGTTTTCTTTGTCGATATCTGTTTCACACCCTCGACAGTTGTCTGGAAGTCGCGTCATATGCGGCTGTTTTGTCCCTTTTCCTGTGGTGGCTCAGACGTTGTCCATAGCCCCCGTGCTGCACAAGCTCTCGCGAATACAAAGGTAGATACCCAGAAAAGTAGTATCCAGTCGTGAGATTCAGATAGCCAGGTATGAAACGGATATGAACCCATCTAGATCATCCATCTCATATTCACGACCACACGAGATAGTGCATGAAATCATCGATGGTATCTCAATCAAAATGCTGCGCAACATGATGCGCAACAGCAGCTTCATCGCCCTCAAACACGTCACAGACCGGACACCGAATAACCCCTGCATCCATACTACCTACCCCTTCCACCCCAGAAGCCACTACATCAGCAACACCATCCACAGCCCCATCAGCACCCTTGCCCCTACCCTTCTTCCCCCTCTGCCTCCCCCCATACCCAGGAGTAACATACGCATCCAACCCCACACTCTCCGCTGGCACCTCTCCTTCATCCCCGCCACCACCCAGATAACCTCTCCCTCCGCCCCTCCTACCACCTCTCCGCCCACCTCTACCTCCTCCCCAGGAACTTCCCTGCTCCAGGTCCCCTTGCTCAACACCCATACCTTCCGTACCACCAAGGTTAGAGTTAGAGCTAGGATTAGTATTCATAGCCTGCACCCTCCCCACTCTCCCATCCGTTAAGCGGACTTTGATCCCCCTCGGATGATTACCCCGCGTCAATACCTCACCGACAGTACCGCTGACTGTGCGGCCAGTTGGTTGGTCTTTTTTTAGGACGATATGTACTCCTGCGCCAGGACGGACCTGTTGGGTTGTGGGTGGCATCATCTTTATCTTTATGTTGGGGAAGTTATGGGTGTTGGTGAGTGTTAATGGATGAGTTTGTGATGATAAGATTGCGGTTAAATGGGTGGAGAGTAGGCTTGGCACGTGATTAGTTCGGTGTGATTGGTGGACAGGGGTACTCCCTACCAAATGGGTTGCTGTGAATATGAGGTGCGATGATATGGGATTGGTATATTGGCACAGCTGATTTGACCGAAATTACTTTCTGCATGTGTATTTCAGGTCTGTGGTGAGGTGTATCATGTTTTTGGTGGGAAAAATACCTCGACTATAGAGAGGCCCTGAACAACCTCTTGCTGCGGCCTACGCAGTTGAAGAGCAAGTACTATCGCCTCAAGTGGAATCGCCCTGCTATATTCAAACCACAGGAATCTCACAATAACTGAAAATGAATATGGGATGATCACGGCCTTCTAAATCACTGCACCACCACATCCACCACAGCCCCTCTCCCCTCCTCAACCACAACCCTAACCCCCTCCCTCAGCGCCTCATCCAACTCCTTTACACTCCTCACTCTCGTCGCCCACAAATTACCATTGGCAGCCGCCTTCGCAATTCCTCCATAATCCGGCCCATCCTCCACCAATGAGATCCCTAACTCCTTACTCGACAAACTGGCCGCCTCACCGCCGGGATGCACATCCACTAGACACTGTCTCGTCGCATTCCACCCACCATTGTTCAGAATCACAGTCAAGAACGGACAGCCATATCTATGGCTAGCCCAGTACACTGCCGACGGGACAGAGAAGATAAAACTCCCGTCGCCGGTGATGTTACAGATGAAAGGTGAATTCGTATTGGATTTCACGCGAACATCTGGACGATTAGAGATATCATATCGTGTTGTGGCTAGCTTCACGCCGATGGAGGCACCTCCGGCCCAGCCGAGGCCACTGCCTCCTTTTGTCAGATGAGAGCCTGGGCGGGTTAGTTGTAGCTGCTCGGTCATGGCAACTTGATTGGTAACGGAGTCGGTGACGAAGACAGTATCGTTGGGTACAAGTTCACGAATGCGACTACAGAGAAAATCTACACTGCAGGGTGCATCAGGTGTCTCGAGGAGCTTGGTTGCTCGGGCGTCAATGCGGGCGCGACCTTCGGCGTGGGCTGTGCGCTGGGCCTCACGTCGATCAGTCCAGCTGGTCTGGAGATCAGCGAGAGAGGACGAGGAGGTAATGTGTGCGTTGAGCTGGGTTAGTGCTAGCCCTGTATCCGCGTGGAAGGTAGCTGCTGCTCCAATGTCGAACATGTTCATGCGCTCTTTGCGTGGGTCAAGGTCGATGTGGAAGATGACTGCCTCGGGGGAGGGATGGATGCGGCGGGGAATCCAGGGCACGTCGGCGTCGAGGACGAGGATCACGTCTGCGGTTTGCACAGCTGGTGCGGCGCCGGTTCCTCTCGTTACGCTGGCTGGGTGCGTAGCTGGGAAGCATACTTCGCGAAGCTCGGAGTCGAACACCCTCAGGCCGTGGACGGTGTCGGCCAATTTGATCAATTCTTGGACGGCGCTGTGGTTTCTGCCCAGGTATCCGGTCAGTACTAGGGGTGACTTTGCATTGAGCAGCGCGCTGCCAATGAGTTCTACTGCTTGTGGGGATAGAGAGCCCAGCTGACAAGAAGGGACAGGCTTGAGGCGGGTTTGTGGGCTAGGAATAGGTGTGGCAAGGATTTCGCGGGTGGCAGTGAGGTACACTGGGCCCGGGGAGCCAGTGGTGGCCATGAGAACGGCGCGATGTACCAGGCTACCAACATTGTGCGGCGACTTGATCTCTGCGCTGAAACGACTATAGGGTGCCACGAGCGCAGCCTGGTCGCGAATGTCCTGGTACCATTGGACGTGCTCCGAGCGTGAACCCGGAGCTTCGCCCAGCAGAGTGGATGGAGCGACACCGGCGAAGATCACGACCGGGGCGCGTCCGCTAGATGCATTGTGCAGGCCTTGACCGAGCGCTGCAGTCCCCACGTCCACGTGGGCGATCACACAGGCCGGCTTGTGGCTCATTCGGGCATATCCATCGGCGGCGGACATGGCCACGAACTTGGGCGATCAGTACCACAGCCATCATTGAGGGTGTGTCAAACGTACCTCGTGTTGGAAGAGTACCATCTTGGGGTACTGCCTGGCAGGGTCATTTTGACGGCGGACATAGGCCTCGATGATGCTAGGATGATCCGAGCCAAGCACGGTGAAAAGGTAGTCGATGCCAGCCTATTTATGTGAGAGAAGGTCTATGAGACAGCTGAAGACACTTTACCTCGGCCAGAGCCTCTAAAAATGCATCCGCCACAGTATGGGGAGCAGTCTCAACTGTAGTTTCTTGTGACATTTTGCGATTAGAAGTATTGGTATGCAGGGAGATGCAAATGCCTAGTTAGCCCCTCCTCTTTATGCTGCCACTTGATGGATTAATGCATATCCACCCGTGTCAGCGAGGAGGGGTCGTGTATTGATAAGTATTACACTAAAGTCAATACGCAGCTAGATGGAAGTCTCCACTAGCTAGGAGTGTCCTGGCCTCTTGGCGCCGACCATCGACCCGTCAATATAAGCATCCAGGGCTAATGGGCGCTACGGGCGGCCGAGTGGCAGGCTAAGTCCCCACTAACGGAGGGCCGGACAAGCTCCGGACAAGCTCCGGACCAGAGAATGGACTGTGGCTGCAGCTGAACCGGTGCCAAGAGCAAGGGTCAGCCTTAGATGAAGCTAATAAGGGTGAAACCAATGGCCTGAGGGATGGCAAAGGCGAATGCAATTATGTGCGCTGTGTGGGTATAAGGGCTCGGACGTGTCAATACCACCACCCCGGTTCACGACCAGCGAGCCTCATGGATATGCCGCTTCACTGTGCATGGAAATGCCCGTCTTCACGATGATCTGGTTCTTCGCAATCGGACCCTGGCTTCCAACGCTCTCTGAATCATCTTCATCCCCGCCAATATCAACATCAACATTCCGCGTGCCATTTCCCGACCGGGACCCCAAACGACTCATCCGATAGCTCGGCCTCGTCCGACTCCGACTCTTTCTGGACCCATTTGACAAGGAACCAAACAGACCAGGCAGGACCTTCTGAATGGGATGTTTCAGGAACGGCAAGCAAGCGCAGATGATTCCCGTACTAGCCTCGATGGCACTCCATAGCAACGCATCGAACGACCCCCAGGTTGGGTCCGTCGTTGTCGTGCTCTTCTCCATCGCCCACATGCGAATGATACTCGTCACACACACAAAAAGTCCCATACAGAACACCAACATGACTCCAATCTTTCTAATTCGATCAAGCTGTAGCTGCGCTAATACCGGCAGCGGCAGTAAACACACCCAAATATCCATTGCCGTATTGTAACCCGCCCAAGACCAACGGAAGGGAGCATTCTGGACGCACTTCTTAGGGATATGCTTGTACCAGCTGGCACGAACGGGTGTGCATTGGAAGATGGTTGCTATAACGAAACCGAAGGTACTAGCGAGGACGAGACCGATGGTAATCCAACAGATTATGCGGAAGATGCGATTGGGGAAAACTCGGAGGTAGAAGGTGAGAAAGGAAAGTTTGTTAAGGCATAGGACAAGTTTGTAGAAGATTTGGAAGAGCCAGAAAAACTATTCTGAAAATCAGCTAGGCTTCATACAACAGACTTGGATCAGATAGCAAACCTTCAAGGCCATGACAATGTTGCCGCCTGTTCTGACAATGTCGGCTTTGTGCCGTCCAAAGGCATAGTGGCAGGCTGGATACATTCAGTATTAGTCGCAATCTGGTTGTAGGAAACCATACCTAAATCACCCATAACAGTATTGACAATTTGCATGGCCTGGCTTTGGTTGAGTAAACGTCTAGTACTGGAGATTAGGACTTACCATTGAAAACGCAATAATCCCATCGTCTACAGCAAACCTCCCTTGGACATAGCCCTTCCATGTCAGGCGACAGACCACTAGGACGAATGCAATGCACGTCAAGACGGCTGTTACTTTGACAAACTCAGGGCCTTTATTAGGGACATCCAGCGGACTAACCGCCATGGCGACGCTGCTGTGGCCTGAATAAGAGCAAACAATGGCTAATAACAACAAAAAAAGGAATTATAAAACGAATGACAACCGGAAGCGAGCGTAGGTGGATGTTAGGGACTGAAAGCGCCAGCCTACGACACGGAGTCAATAGGGTTCTGAACGACAACCGACTGCATCAGAAAATGACTACTATGTAGTAAACCAAGCATTGGGCTCAAAGGCTTAATAACAGCTTTTGCTTCAAATTATGCCGGTGGTACAGGGATCCTTAATTCCCGTGCCTAGCTCTTCCATTAGTCTGAGGGATCCAACTCTATGCCCAGTATACAGCTCTGGGCGTTCTACTGTGAGCACTGAAAAGGTCCGGCAAAGTTTCCCAAATACCACCGCTTTCATTTGTTCCGTTAGCGACTAAATCCATAATCTGGAAGGATTTGTTCGTCTCGAGACAATCTTACCATCGATCCACTGTTCTACTCGGCCGGATATTCAGACTCTCTATGGTTCGCATGCACATACAGACCCCTGCCTCTGGAATTTCCCAGTGGGTATGTGTGTCATTTACGTACACCTAGTGAAGCTTGCGTAAAATCTTAGGAAATGGTAATAAAACCACGGTGGGCCACATATGAGACCAGCTCATAGTGGCGTATCTTTAGGGCCGGAACGGCCCCGATACGAGGATCCACGAAGGGAACAGTGGCCACTCGACGCTTTAAAATAAAGACACAATATATATCATGCCACGCTAGATCATGATCCCTGTCAAGGTACTCCGTAGTGTACAACGAATGATTTTTTCGCTCAACGGATTCTTTGTCCTCGCCAAATTGGAGTGCTTAGCACGTGTAACCCTGCCGGTCGCGCGCTCAGGGTTTGAAACGGGAGAAATCGCCGGTCAGATTAATTTCGGTCCAGGGTCTTGAGATAGTACAGACTATGAGCAAGTTTCAGACGACCGATTGCAATTCCGGTGAGTATAACTTCTGCATTGAGAAGAGTGGTACCCTAAGAAGCAGTGGGAGGTGCGTGGCGATAGGTGCCCAATGCCGTGGATTGTCGTTCTAAGAACAACTGCCTCCTATTGATTTAGACTCCTCCTCTGTACTCCGGCGTGGAGGGAATTGGAAGAAACGTAATCACGCAACATTAGCTTGAGCTGCATATTTCAAAGCTAGAGCCTAGGCTACTGTGTGCTACAACAACGTTGGCTACATGATGTTGAGGCGTAATCCTTATACATAGCCGTACAAAATACTATTTTAGTGGCCACGCCATGGTGGATCCAATCAATTGAGCTTGGCCCCGTCCAAGCTAGATCGTGGTAGCCCACACAGATTAAGCCTACAATTGAAACCGGAAATCCGGATGGGCATCCCCGAGGTCATCTGCCTCCGGCGCCATCTCCGATGTTTCCTCCTTGGCCGGCTGGCCGTCCCTGCGGCGATTCTCCGCTTGCAAGGCGAAAAAATACACCGTGCACGCCAGCCCGGCCACCACTGCAAAGGCCAACCCAACACCGAATCCGGTCGGATACTTTGGCGATTCACTGGTGATGAAAACGTTGCCAGACACAAAGGCACCGCAATTGCCGAATGCAGGAAGCAGACCCATTCCAACACTGCGCTTCACGCCTTTGCCCAAGTTGACGCATAACCACACCACAATCGTAGACATCATGATGAATGCTCCGGATGCCACGAAAAATATGCCCATATAGCGAACGCCAGCAGATTGCACATGTGACAGCTCGACGCTCCAGCCGATAATCGTCAACACGGAGCCAATCATAGTGAATACATATCGGTGTCGCAAATGGTCACTCAGCCAGGCGCAGGATAGGGTTAGGACGAAGGCAACGGCATAGACAGGAATGGTGTGTTCCTGAGCGGAGCGGCTAGTCCATCCAAGATCCTTCAGGATGGTTGGTTGAAAGTTTACGAGAGAGCTGGCGCTCTCTTCGGCCCCAAGGTAGGCCAGCACGCTATCATGAGGGTTCAGTTAGTCAATGGCGAGATAGGAGAACGCAGAATACCCACCATATCCATATCTTCCAGTCGGCAGCCATGCTGATCACCCGCTTGAACGAAATAGGGTCGTCGCGAACGCTTCCTCCGTCCGCCTTCAGGCGCGCAAGGAGCAATGTCTTCTCCTCGGCTGTCAGGAATGTAGCGTCTTCGGGGAACGGGACTACAATCCAGTAGCAGATGAGGCTGACACCCATGGTAATGATGGACTCGATCAAGAAGAGCCTAGATTGTAAGAAAATGGACAAACTCCGTATCTGGCTAATCTTACCAACGCCATCCCTTATATCCGTCCAGATTCAAAGGTGTTAAAAGACTCGAGAAGAGCTATGAGCGCATCAGTGAGTGTCGCCGCAACTCTTAGAAACTAGTACTGACCCCGTTGAATGCTCCTGCGGCCATATTTGCACTGAAAAAGATGGCGTATCGTCGAAGAAACTCATCGCGCTTGTAGTAACTTCCGATCAAGTATGCGCAACCTAATTGTCTCGGTATTAGCGAACGTCCTCCAACGCAATCGAAATGTATCATGCGCTAACCTGGAACAAACCCAGCCTCACACATTCCCATAAAAAAGCGGCAAGCGATAAGTCCGCTCGCGGTCTTGACGAGACCCTGACCCATCACGAAAAGGCCTACCGCAGTCACCGCATTAGCAGACATACTCATCAGTAACCGCCAGCCATCTTACCCCATGTAAACATATACAGCACCAGCATCTTCGGCCCGAACTTTTTGACCAGCAGATTTGCCGGCATGCCAAAAATAACGTACGCGACGGTAAACATTGTGACAGCCAGATTGTAGTCATTTCCGACCAAGTGCAATTCCTTGCTCATGCCTGCAATTTTCGCATTGCTAAAGACGTTTCATCGTAAGCACTTCTGGGATTGAACACTGGTTGCGCAGGTAGAGATTCTCACCCGATATTCGATCTGTCCATGAAGGACACCAAGAACAGAAACCATAAAGCGGGGATGACTCTCCAGTCCAGCTTGCGCAAGAGCTTCTTCTCTAGAGCTGGGTCGATGTTGTCGCCAGTCGAGGCTTCCACCACCCGTGGCTCAATCTCAGTCTTCTCCAGCTCCATGATTCTATCAGTCCTTGTGTAATCGGAGAGGAAGGATGCAAAGGAAGAGACTCGGCCTCCACACTGCGGGACACCCTGTTTTTGTACAGGATGCAGCAGGGATAAGTTTCGGAAAATCCGAGCGGCAAAGGAAGAAAGGGAAATTAATCTTTCGGCAAAACTGCGACAAAGCCAGTCCTGATGAAAATGTATCCCTGGCTGGGGGTTAGGGTAAAGATTGGCCCATTGGTCGATACAGCTAACGGGATGATATGGTACGGTATCGTTGTTGTTCAGCTGGTAAAAGTGGCTCCGCTTAGCGCGCCCCACGCCAATATACTAAGTGCAACATGGCCGTCTTGCATGCGCGGAACAAACCCTGGTTTAGTCTGGCCATTAACATATTCACAGAGGAACAGGGGACGGGCAGCTAGATTGTAGATTTGAGTACTCGAGTCGCGACTAGTAATATGTGACTATCTTGATTAGGAAGTTGTCGGAGCCTTTCCCATCACGCATCTACCAATGACTGTCGTGCTTCCTGCAGAACGGCATGGACGCCTTAATGCAACTACTGCAAGAGTACTATGGACAGTTGGCAAGATGGGTGGCCTAAAACCCTAATGTATGTACACAGCAATGTATATAAATGCCACGGTGAATTATTTCATCATACAAGGATTCTAGTACCAATTCGGAGGCTTATCTCCAGAATAGACTGTATCTCTAGTCAATATAGATAAATAGCAAGCACCTTCACAGCTGTGGGTGTCATCTCCACGTGCTGCAGGGAATATTAGTTATTACCCACATAATGCACTTTATAGCAGCACTGTACGGTGTAGAGTGAGCACTATACATGCATGGGTAACACGTGGTGCAAAGTGTTCAATGAAGGAAGTGGGTACCATTCTATGCAACCGACATCGGGAATCGCACTAAACATCTGTTAAGGAATTCCTTCACCTTTCCAACGATCGAATCACCTGTCCTTTCCCTTCCTCATCAATATCCCTGGTGGTGCATTATACGATATTCTGGATTGCGAAAAAGCAAGTGCAACACTAGGGGAGAATTCAGAGCAATACAAACACGACTTGACCTACAAACCAGTCAAATAGAGTGATTCGCAGCAAAATAGTTAGACCTCACCCTATCTATCAGGCATCCAACATGTAGACGGCCATATTCATGTCGGCTCGTGTCAAGATACGCTGTCAAACGAAACTCGACACGATGCAGTAGAACTCGCTCTGTAACTGCATCATCTGCGACTCATGCAAAACCCAATCAACACGCCAGGCAGTCCAATATACATCACAAGTTCCTATCATACAATTCGAAGAGCTGGATCCATACGAGCCGAGGCACTACAGCTAAAACATGATGTTGCCTTCGGCGATTGGAATAACTCGCCGAGCCTCATGCTCGGCGAAAATTGCGACATCCCACGCAGCAGTCACTACTCATCTGGCGCGTCCAGTCATCCCAGACGTATCATATCTCCAAGTTCCCTTGAAACGAATATTGTACCATCTACAGCACTATGGCCGCCAAATTTGCTATCAAGTCTTTAGACCACCTGGTCTTGACAGTCCGGTCCATCCCCGCCTCCGTCGCATTCTATACAAGCCACCTGGGGATGAAACACGAAGTCTTCTCTTCACCTAGCAGTCCAGACATTCAACGGTAAACCTCAAATCCCTGGTCTTTCTTTCTTCAGTCACCCTGATAAATCTCATTCTTCAGACATGCCCTTCTCTTCGGGTCCCAGAAAATCAACCTGCACGAGAGCGGGAAGGAATTCGAACCTAAAGCCCAGAATGTCATGCCAGGAAGCGCAGACCTCTGCTTTCTGACGGACACTAAAGTGGAGAATGTTCTGAAAGCACTCGAGGAAGCTAAGATCGACGTCCTCGAAGGTAACGAAGTCGTGGAACGCACGGGTGCGGTGGGGAAGATCCGGAGCGTTTATGTGCGCGATCCGGATGGCAACTTGATTGAGTACGTATTCAATATCTATATCATGACTTGGCTAATCTGGACTATTAATTATGGTAGGATCTCGAACTACTGTTAAGATGGAAAGAGCTGGTATTTCCTAGCAGTAGGAGCAGAGTGTATTAGCTGCTGACAGCGGGGGTATTTATGCATATGCATATGCTTAGTCATGTGATGTACAGCCCGCTATTGTGCATACATATGAAATTGTTGACAATTTCCCTTTCTTTGTTCCATTTGGATGTAGTGTTCACATCAAACTCTTACTGTAACAAACAGGATGATGAACATCGCTCAAAATGCCACTTTAATAGGCTAAGTCAGATACACACATGGCTTCGTAACAATTTTTCAGTCCGTTCAATCTCAGTCCCTTCCATCATTTCTTAGGCGCCTCCACAAAGCCGGGGAAGCAGTCCTGCAGGGTCTTGTTGTGCTTGTTGGCAGCATGTTCAGTCAAGGCCGGAGCACGAGTAGTCTTGAGGAAAGTCGACCTGCAAGTCATGCAGATGATATCCTTTGCAGCTTCGTTCTGTAGTCCCTGCGTAAGCATGATCGTCGGGAGATTTCCCCTTTCACTTCCACACCTATACATTTCTCTCTCTCTACACAGATCGTGACACCACCCTACAAAAGCTACCCCCTTCTTCTTCAAGATTCAAACAATCAATAAAAACAACAAATAGAGGATACATACGGTCTTCAACTGCGACTTGCCGCCAGCCTTGGTGTCCTTGGCGTTGCGCTCGCGCTTGGTGGCGGCTTTGGCTCCCTGTGGATGATTCTCATGTTAAGTCTGATAAGGCGCAACCAAGTCGCTGGTCGCTTCACTCTAGGAGGAAGGACTTCGCGTAGAGTCAGTAACAGCGAGAGGCTTACGTTTCCCATGATGAATGTGGTGGTTAGTAAAAAGGAGTAGAGTAAGATAGAGATCGGTGTTATGATGTGGGGAAGATTGTCAAGGAGGGGGAAATTTTCAGATTTATATCGGCGTCCCTTTTTTTTGCCTCTTTTTTTTCCTTAGGGGAGGCCGCTTTGACACGCTAAGCCCGCCCGGGTCTGGACCGTGACTGGTCTGTTTGCCGTTCCCTGATTGGTTAGTTCTTGGCACGTGTTTTGTTGGGTTTGCACTACTAGCTGCCTCAGGCTGTCAATCACGCGCCCTGGGTTGCGACCAGCCCTCCCATGGCTTTGCACATATCATGATGGAGTTCAATTGGCATTCTAATTCAATTGAACTTAATTAAAGTAGTGAGTGGTCGGTTCACGCAAAATCCTTCTACCGTCATCTGCAGTCTTGAACCATCTCATGTAGAAGATCCCTGAATGCCATAGATACTACTACAAGGTATTTATATATCAATTTATATATCATGGAGACCCCGGAATGATACTCGCAATTACCATCCCGAATTAATTGGTAGGTATGTAGTTCTCAAGACAATCGGCGATTTGGTTTCGTTAAGATCGAAGATTCCCCATCATTTCTCGCTGATGTGATAATGGAGAAAACCCCCGTCTGTCAAGTGATCACTTGCTGCACGTGGATGCCGCCGCTATTCCTTCCCGTCTTCCGTTTCTTATCACCCCATGCAATCATTTTTCCGCGTCATCTGTCTCTTCACATGGATGTGTCACTGACCGAGGGATCTATGATATATCGTTGCTCAAACCACGGGAATTAAAGTGTGCTGATTTGGTGTCGCTGCAGCGATCTTCTGGTTCTCGTGCGACTCAAGCAGCAAAAGCGCTTCCAATTTCATACACAAGAAGGTACCACGGTTCATTGAGCATACCTAGCGACAATTTGACAGTCTCATCAATCCCCCAACGCTAATTGGAGTTCACAAAGATAGCGAACTCTAATTGATTCGTTCGAGTCTAATATCTCACGCAAGCTCACTTGGCGAATATAGCGCCATTTTAGTCACGATAAACCTCAATGCACCAGCCAATCTGCGGTGCGGAGACCAGCGGCGCCCGGGCCATCTCCGCATTCCGAGCCTTTTGCCTATCCATGATAACCCTCCATCAGCAGAGATAAATACCGCACACTGAGGCTGACAGGAGGGGAAATTGGGCTAATGTTAGTCTTTCTCACCCATGCCTACAGCTGTCATTCGAACATCTCAACGTACCCCTTGGTACCGTCACCATGTTGCCATCAACAGACGATATCGCCAAGTTCATCTCCATCGCCCCAGAGGCTACTGAAGGGAAGGCTCTTATTTTCTTGCAGGTATACAACACAAGCAGCCGAAAATTGGTCATGGTACTGACTTTGCACACCAAAGGAAGCGAGCTCTTTCGATGAGGCCCTTGATCGGTTTTACGAGAACCCGCATAGATACTCTAATGTCGCGGCTGCTAGCAGGTCCGACTCGAGGCTCCAAAGCGATCATGCTGACATGCGAGCATTACCCCCATCATATGAGTTGCACATTAGCTCCGTGAACGGAGCAGAACGTGCTCCTCACAAGAATGTTGTCACCGAAGCCGGGGATCTCCGAGCTCGGGATGAGGTACGCCTCGACGTCAGCACGTGTACGACTTATTCATCTAACATCATCGCCATTTAGCAAGAAATGCAGAACATGCTCTTGGACATCCAAATAAAGTGTCAAATCTATAATACCGACATTGAGCCGGAACACGAATCCAGTGAGTTCATGGCTTGTACGTGCGAAATTCATCAATACAGGCAGAGGAAAGTTGCACGCCTCGATGTGCAGGAGATGTGGTCCAAAGCAGTGATGTATCCCGGTTCGTACCGTCACCCTTGGGTTCAAAGATACCTCAGGGATTAATGCTCTGACTATGGCGGAGAATAGGAGAGAAGGCTTATCACGATTGTTACCAGTCGTCTGTTTTCTCAAATAATCCCTATATCCGGATCCCCTCAGCGTATGGTATTGCGTACACAACTTTACAACGTCCAGATGCAACACGATACACCAACTCCGTTCGGCAGACCATTGCCCTTAATGTGACACTGAACAACAAATCCCAGGCCACAATCGATGCTATGGAGCCACAATGCGACATCTGGGCATTAGATGAACCGGACAACGCCTCCGCTACCTCAAGCCCCGTAGAAAACAAAAGTGCTCCCGCAGCAAGCAGCATAGGGCCATTGAAATCGTCCAAGTTATCGAATTTTAGGCGGGCTCTGTCCATCTCGTCATTGAACAAATCAAGCTCCAAAACAGAAGAAATGTTTACTCGCGCCCGAAAGCTCCGACGGGAAATTCTGGAGGAGGAAACTGGTCGTTGGCCGGACTTAGAGTGGCGAAACATCGTAGCCGCCTACCAAGAAAAGGTTGGCATGAAGCAGAAAATCGCCGAGTTACGAGCCAAACGCCCGATTCAGTATTTGCATCTGCTTCGAGCAGGATACTTTGAGCCCATCCCAATAGCTTGGGCAACTCGTGCATCAAACCCCTTGAAGTTTCGCATCGAGGGACTTTCTGGGTGGAGAGGCATTACTCCGGCTTGGAGAGGGTACGAGAATACGGCAGAGGAGCGGCTCTATTGGGTCCTGAACCATCGAGAGGGAAACACGGGACCTCGCATGAAGCCAGACATGATATCCGCTCTGGAAATGGCTCGTGCGAGAATGGCCACAGCCGTTGAGCCACCCCCGGCTTACTACTCCATGGATGATACCTTCCGCCTTCAGCGTTTGCCAGAGAGTTACTCCCTGCAGGTGATGCCGCCTCCATTCACACCATTTGACCTCCCCGAAACAGCTACTGACAATACGATGATATTACTGGATGTGTCTGGATCAATGGACTTTGACCCTCTTCGACCACTTTACACTCAATACCTAGTCACCGGGTTCGCCCGTTCTAATCAACCTAAGAACAAGGGTACGTGGGTCCCTCTCTTCAGCAATCACACTATCTGACTTAGTATCATAGATGTTGCCAAAGCAATCATCCGCCGATTCACGGATGCAATGTCCATCCATGACCAGAATCTTCATGGCTATCAGCTCGTTACCTTTGCTAACAAGGCTGATTATATTGGGTTTATCAATCACTCGAACTTCAACGATATGTGGAGAAATGTCAAATTAGGGGGAGGAACACGCGTCATGACCGGATGGCAGAAAATCAAGGATCTGCATTTCCAGAGACATTCAGAATCCGCTACCTACCACCCTGTCTATGGCTGGCAAGCAGGCCCGCGAACACCAATGTTGAGATTGCTACTTTTACTTGATGGCGAAGCAACAGACATGGATGAGTTTGAACTTGATCTGCTGGGTCTCTCTTGGGTCCATGTCACCATCTTTCTGATTGGAGTGGACGGATGTCCGCACCACCACCGGCACGCTAACGAGCTGCAAAGGATCAGCGAAGTGAATCCACATGTCTCATTTGTGGATGCACAGGGCAATGCGCCGGAGCGTTATGTCACGCATGAACTACTGAAGCGGCACCTGGGGTATGATGTGCCGATGGCGGAGTTTGAGCGACTGGAGCACTGGCCAGCAAGTGCAGAGCCACCAGTGTACCAAGAGTAAAGTCGACATCCATCTTTACTGGGAGAAAGTGATGGTACAACTTATGTTTAATAAATAGCGCTCTCTATATTTAATTACATGCAATCATACTCTATAATGCGTGAATACAGGGGAATCCAAACAACATCTCGCTCAATAGAACCATGCCCGTAACCCGCTCCACCAAAAGGTAAACACAAAAGCCCCCAAACCAAACTCCACTATGAAGCTTCTCTCTAGCGCCACTCAGGATGCTGATGAGCCTGCTGCGGCTGTTGCTGCTCAGACCGCTGTACCGGCGCGTGTCCCTCGTGGTAGTGGACGGGAGGATGCTGATATTGCGGCCCGGGGTTGGCATAGTGGGGTCCATTGTTCGTGTACTGAAGTCCACCCTGGGGAGGGTACATCTGGGTGTTGTTGTTGTATCCGTACTCGTGGTGGGGAACTTGTTGGAGGGGAGCTTGTTGATGGGGAGGGAATTGCTGAGGGTGGGGAGGCTGCTGGTGGTGATGGCAGCAGGAGCATTGATGATTCTGGTTCTGGTTTTGGTTGGATTGCTTCTTGTCTTGGAATTCATTGGCAGCCCTAGGGGTGGAGTATTAGTATAAAGATCTGACGATCCGCAATGATGCATGAGTGTTACATACTTGGATCCGGCCTTGAGGAGGCCGTAAGCACCGGCGAGTTGGATACCAGTTTTGATGAGACCCATGTTGATTATTGATTGATTGATTGGTAGAAGAGAGGAGTAATGGATTGCGATGAAGGTGATGAACACTTGAGAGTCAGGAAGATACTCTTGGATGCAATTGAAAGCTTGATGATGTTGTTGACGATGAAGAACCCTATTGACTTGGGAAAAACATTCACTCTTTATCTCCCAAACACTCGACGATCTCTACCCGAAACGGTAATGCTAACACTAACCCTACAAGTTGAAGGATCCGAATCCGCCCCCAAACTGCGGCTCATTAGTGGAAACAGAGTGGACACTTCACAGCCTGACACAGCCCAGTTCACTAAAGATAAGCTAAGATAAGTCAAGCTTTGATACCCCCTTGGTCCCTATTCCTGCAAACACCTCTTTCCTAGCTACATACCCGAATCCGAAATTGCCCCTGCAAAGCACATTCGCACCTGTGCTGCACCTCTAACCGAGTCAGTCAAACTACTGGTCATGCCCCCGCGACTCAACCACCGCAAATCCACCCGCGGATGTCGGCGGTGCAAGGCTAGAAAAGTCAAGGTAATTGATCACTCCCTCTTCTCCACCCCACCGAAAGGATCAATTTCCCATAACGACTCGGTACCGAAGCCCTGCGTTAATGTGGACCTTATTGCAAAAACACAGTGCAGCGAAACCCGCCCCAAATGCCAGCACTGCGATCGTCACAACCTCCCCTGTGAATATGCGCCTCTCGAGCCGCGCATGTACACTTACCGAGAGGATACTTCCAGCAATAGAAGCACAAGCACAGCCAGCACTACCACCACCACCACAGCCCTCCTATCCTCACCCACTTCTACATCCACATCCCTATCCATTCCCATCCCCACCCCCTCACCATACACCTCCAACCTGCAAGCCCCCCACCTAGCCCCCCTAAACACCACCTCCCTCCGCCTGCTCCACCTCTACATCTCCTCCACCTCACACACAATGGGCACCGCACAGATCCCCTCCGTGCGCGAAATGTGGGAACTCTCCGTCCCCGAAATGGCCTTTGAGTACCAGCCCCTTCTTTCCACTTTGCTAGCTGTGGCTGCGGCGCATCGCGCACGGCTTGTGCCCCATGAAGCGGAGGAGTTGAGACGTGTTCAGGGCGGGTTTATCGCTCAGGCGGTTGGGGGTCATAGGGCTGAGACGGCGAAGCTGGCGGTGTCTTCCCCGGGGGCGGGTGTTACGGAGACATTGTGCATGAATGCGATTTTAATCTCGTTGTATACGCTTGCGTGCAGGATGGATGGTGGTGCAGGAGGAGGGGGAGGGGGTGCGTACGAGCCTCCGAACCTGTGGCTGAATATGGCCCGAGGTGTAAGGACGGTCGTGTCGATGGTGTATTATCGGCTTGTGGAGGAGAGGGCGCGGATTGCGCCGTTGTTAGTTGCCAGGCCGATTGTGCATCGAGGGGATGTGGAGGTGCAGGATGGGGGGCCTAAGGGGAGTAGTGGGGAGTTGAGGTTCTTGGTAGACATGTTGCTTGGTAATGAGGAGGAAGAGGTGATGGGGGTGTATGTGCAGTGTGTTGGGTATTTGGAGGGGTTGTTGATGGCGGTTAGGATGGGGGAGTCTGGGTATGATATTCGGAAGAGGTTTTCGTCGTTTCCCAGTATGGTTCCCGGGGAGTTTCTGGGGCTGGTGAGTGAGCGGAGGCCTAGGGCGTTGGTTATTCTGGCGTATTTGTTTGCGTTGGTTAGGGGTGCCGAGGGGGTGTGGTGGTTGAGGGGGATTCCGGAGATGGAGGTTCGTGGGATTAAGTCTATTTTGCCGGAGGTGTGGAGTGGGGTTATGAGGTGGCCGGTGGGGGTGGTTAAGGGGGAGGTGGATGTTAATGATGAGGTAGTGTTATGGTTATGATTATAATGGAATGATGGGAATTATATTCAGGTAGTCTATATATACATTAAGGATCGTAAACCAGTCATTAGAGTGATCAGACGGGCACTTCGGCCTGGTTCTTCGGCTGGATGTATTCGACACGACTGCGTGCCAGGTTCCGAGTGACGATACCAACTCCCACATAGATGAGCATGACGAGATACTCGGGAATGGTACCGAAGATGACGCGCACGGCCAGACTGCCACCCTCGAGATTGGAACTGGTGAATGCGGTTACAATGGCATAGACGATGCGAACACCGATCAAGGGCATGGCAACAGTGATAGCGGAGAGAAGCTGTTTCTGTTAGTAAGTTGATTTCCAAATATGAAGGAAAGATACTAACCTGTCTCTCCTCTCCCAGTCGACGGCTATGGGCATTAGCCCCGTACGAGAACCAGATCAGAACGGCCACCATAGTCCATCCCGTCGCAAAGACAACCATCCCCACACGAAGAAGTGTCTCGTTTCCACTGCTTGCTGCAGCAAGACCAATTCCGCCTGCGACAACAATGTGTGTGATGAGGAATCCCCAGAGGTTTAGGAAAGGAGGGAGAAAGCGGTGGATGGAGTGGTTTCTGTAAGGTGGTTAGTTGTGAACTAGGCTTCCTAAGCAAGATACATACGCTTCACGGAGCAGACCCATAGCAGCCATAAGAAGAGGGGATAGACCGATTCCGTTGAGGATCGCAGCTGTTGTGTTGACTTTGTCGTGATGGATAGCGTTGAGGGACATTGCACTGCCGGCTATACGCAGACCACACATGGCGAGAACATAAGCCCAGCCAACGAGGCCATGTTTACCGTGCACGACAAGGCAGTAGATTGTTGGGAGAGAGAGGAGAGCATAGACGGCCAAGTTGGCTGCATCGAGGTGTTCAGTTGCGGACATTGTGTCTGAAGTGGTATGTAGCAGGTAAACCGGTGGTGGGAGTGTACAGTAGTTGATAAAGCAAGTGAATTAAAGATGGATATAAAATTGTATTGCTATTTCCCAAGCAAAGGGCCCTACCATCCTTTATAACTACAATATTCCTACTAGTATATCTCATGTGACATAGCCCTATGTCAATTAAGCAGCGAAACCGAAACCGAGGAGGCGCGGCAGGACAGCCACGTTCTAGTGGATCCAGCGATCATCGCTGCTGGGGCCAAAACGATATCCACCACACATATCGCTTAGATCACTAGCAGGTCGATGGCGTCCTGGAGAATGAGAAAACTCTTCTTTTCGTTGTCGCTGGGTTGGGTAGCTGGCTGATCAACAAGTGATGGGCAGGCTAAGCAGTCTTTCACTGCTAGACCAGTTTGTAAAATGTCGCGAATGACTGAAATAGCAACATTGCTCACACGCCGTTGTTTTGTTGAAGGGGCGAAGCGCGCACAGCATATAGATGGTGAGGTGGATCCAATCCAGACGGATAAGTGTTTGCAAAAGAAGGTCAATTGATGTTGATGAATTGTTTGACGGTCGCAACCCTTTCCCGAGTAGATGCCTTATTGCCTTACAGCCTTCATGTCTTCATGCCTTGATGCCTTGATCATGTTGTGGCCTTGTAGCCTTATGGCCTTACAGCCTTGACTCCCCGCACGTGGCGGCCCCAGCCGCAGGTTCCTTGGCGGCTTCGTTCTTCCCCGCACATTCTGGTTGTTTCCCACCGGCAAACACAATCACTTTCTCTCCACTACCCCGGATTCTATTCAATACAGCCCAGGAATCTCATATATTGATCTCCTCGCTTCTGACGTATCCTTCAGCCACCGCTCTAATTGCTACATGCAGAAAGCCTCTAGGAGGTCGACTCGGTCGCGAATATCCAAGGCTTGCGACCGTTGTCGTCGACAGAAGCTCAAGGTAGGCTCCCACCATTGGACATGAGCAGCTGTGAGCGATTCTTATCTTTTCTAGTGTGACTCAGTTCGTCCGTGTGTACTATGCACTCGTGCTGGTCACAAATGCGAGACAACCACAGCCACAGCATCACGTCGTCGTGTTTCTGAATATCAGGCACCGGCCACCCCAGCGGCATCCGCCGGATCTGATACACCTCAGGTCTTACCGAGAAGAGCGTCCGAGGACCACCAACCATATGCCACTGGTACTTCGGCGATTGGTTTCGCCAGGCAGGTTTATAACGAGGAGGAGACAGGCCGGACCTTGACTGAAGCTGCTGTGCCGGGTGATGTTGGCATGGTGGGTGCTGATAACTCACTATGGGGCCTGAAAGAGACACCCATGCCCCCAACGACTGTCATGCTTGCATTGATCAACGCCTACTTTGACCGAATGCAGTGGTTTATTTTGGTACTCCACGAGCCGTCATTTAGAGAAATGGCCCAGCCAATTATCTCTCAGAATCAATGGCAACGCCGGGATCTTGGTGCAGTCATGACGGTGCTTGCTGTCGCTGTTATCAGCTTACAATCAGTCCTCCCCGACGCAGATTGGCCTGGTCATATCCTTCTATCCAGGCATTCAATTGATGCCCAGGATTTGCTGAACAAATTTCTGACAGAGATTCGTTCCCGTGTGCTTGACATCTTGGAGGACCGCCGTATGGAAGGGGTGCAAGTCTGTCTTCTACTCTGTTGTTATTACATGTTCCACAGCTCTCCAAATATGGCCTGGACCACGTGTGGCATGGCTTTCAGAGCCGCATATGCCCTCAATCTTCAAGAAACAAGCACATCGTCGCAACCTTCTGTCGCTAACGAGACACGCTCTCGTTGTTGGAACCAGATCATCGTTTCGGATACATTTTGCTCCATTCTCTATGGGCGCCCTGCGTCTCTGCCTTCGGCCAGTGTTCGTCATCTACAGCTCGTCGACGACCTGGTATTTGACCACTCACTGCTAAGTAATCTATCGGTGGACAATAGCGACGGAATATCGTCGCGCGCCCCATTTCACGTCTTAAAGACAGATGTGTATGCGATTGCTCGCGAAATTCTTATCCGCTTCCGTCGGCTTGACCTGACATCTGGAATAGAGGAACAGAACTTGGAAGCTATCATTTGTATTACCGAGGAGTCGAATGCTCTACTCACTGACTGGTGGAAAGCCGTCCCGAAAATATTTGACTTTGACTATTGGAAAGCAGATGGTCGCTGGGAAACCGTTGAAGGGCAGCTGCAAACGCTTCCGCCTCAAGCAAGGCAGCAGGTGGAGACAATCTATCTACAGGCTGCTGTTCTTCAGTTGACGTATGATGGCATGGTCATACAAGCAAATAGACCGCTGTTGGAGCGAAGAATCAACAGGCTAACATCCTCGCGGGCAATCATGGATGCGATGCACAGGGCACTAGACCGAGCTACAGCTGCTGCCCTTCGCATATCTCGTGTGCCAGTTCACACGTTAAAGAATCACTTCGCTATAGCAGTTGTATCCATGACAAAATTTACTGCTGGTGTGATACTCTGCATACCTCCAACTGTGAAGCCTTTAACGGCCACCGCTCACGAGGCAAAGGATGGGGTGGTAAGAATAATTCGCGCTAGTCGAAGTCTCAAGAGCCACGATCGAATAGCAAGGCAAACTGAACAGCTTCTGACAGAGCTGCTGAAAGTTACCACTCAGCGCGAGATAACACATGCCTTGGCCGATAATATCGAAACAAATTGCCCTTCAGACACGCGATTAACCGGTTCTGGGGTTGACGGCCCCTCAAATGACTCCTTGAGTGCAGGGCGCTCCAGGACAATTCACGGACCCGCAGCGCAGGCCGCTGTAGATCCTGTCCAAGGTCCCTGGGACACAGACTATAATGCCCCCACCGCCGTAATGGGACCATATGATTTCCTCCCTGCGCAGGCCTTTCAACAGCTGGACGATACATTTGGTGCATTTGGAGAATGTAATGACCCTTGATCCCCCAAGACACAATTCGGATTTTGACTGACCTCGTGCATAGCCATGTTTAACTTGGTCCCTGATGATCAAAACAGTACGTGGAACTGGGGCCGAACATTTCCCTAGCCAAAAGAGCGGGAGGGAGTCAACGTGATCAGTACAGCCTTGTAGGCTCGCTGAAATTTCCTGGGGCCAAGCTAAAGCCCAAGAGAGGATGGTGGAAGGGCAGACATCGCGATGATTAGTATGCTCATATGTAGTCACGCAAAATGGCTTATGGCCACAGTAGCAACAACGGCCGCGGAGTTCAATGGTATGTGGCAAGCCGCCGGATAATTGGGGTCACGGGATCCATGGGTTGGTGGAGTTAGTTCCGGTGGCTATCTTTCCGGTGGAGATAACGGTGGTGACCGCCAAAACTCCTGAGCCCGGAACACTCGGACTCCGCATCGTCCAGTTTTGTGTTTCACAACAGCCATTCGACTACTTAGAAGACGCGGGACACAATCTCGCTCGGTCAATTTGCTAATAATATTTTCTTGAAGCTAAATGGATCTCAAATATATACATTGCCACTGTTTGGTGTGTACAGCACTGCGCCTTGGTTTAACGATGATGATCTTCGAAACCCCCAAAAAGCTGGAGCGGGGGAAGGTCGAGAAGCTCAGTCTAGACTAGATAGGCTACGCATTTGGCAGGCCGATCGTCCGGCACACCACTGGATTGACAAATCATTTGTGACCCTTGATGTTCCGCGGCGTTGAAGCTGGTGAGAATGTGGATCCTGGTGGGGAAGACCAAATTGCCGCCGGAAAAGATGAGCTTCCTGCACATGTCCGGTGGCTCAATCTTGGGCCAGGTCAGGAACTTGGACATGAAAGGGATGCGATTGTTATTCCATATTTACTTCTTGCACCCGCCGACGGCCTGTCTGGACCGCAAATTCTTGGTCAAGTTTCAGTGGAGCAATTCAGGAATTAATATCCGACATGGAGAGTTGCCCTCGACCTCAGGTCTGTAGTCGTGTGACACAGCGGCCTCTACTCGCTTGCCTTGCATGTCGGAGCTCGAAGGTACGATGCGAACTAACACGAGGAGCGACTGTGTGTCGCAGATGCAACTTGA